GCTTATGAAATAGATCCTCAAATCATACACCATCAATCACAGCCCCTCAGCAGGAATACAGGAAGGCTTGCCTTCTAGGAGCTCAGAGCCTGAAACAAAGCCTGACATTTGGAACAAAGTGAAGCATCCTATGATGAATTATCAAAGACATAACGGAATTTAAAATAAATCTCCCAGAGAGAAGGGTAGAGTTGTGCAATACTGAGCTTTCTCATCAGTTTTCTAGTGAGAGAGAATCCACGTGCACCTTCAGAAGAAAGGGGTAGTACTTCTTCAGAGAAAATGCATGAACTGACATGTGCCTGGTGAGTCTCCTTTTAAATATTCACTTTTTCATGAAAGTCATAAACACAGAATTGTTACTTTAAAAATGAAATAAAAGAGAACCCTTTCCTCCAAGGATGCAGCCCTCAAGAAGGCAGTCTGACCACCAGCCAAAAGCTGACCTTGAGCTACAGAGTGAGGCTGGCTTTCCGGGTGTGTTCCCTGACTTCCCAGCGTGCCTCAAATTCCCTTTGGCTTGGAGTCCCCATTTCCTTCAGAGAGCAAGGCTTAGAGACTTGACACAAATCTCCCCAAGAGAAGCCACACTTCAAATGGTACCGTACCAGTCATTTGTAGGCGACTGACCATGGGAGCAGCTGGGCGGAGCAGGGAAAGGGGGAATAAGAAAGGCTCAGTGTCTGCTCGTGGAGGGATGGGCCTGAGCATCAAACTGCCAACTCACCACTCTGCAGGGTCTGGCACCACCAGCCTTGGATTTAAAAAAGTCCACCGTGCCCCCTGCAGGGCAGGATAGCAAGCATTTTGGTTGATTTTCTTTTAAGTTGTTCTACTGTCAAGTGCCGTAAGTAGTACTATTTTGACAGAAACAGGATAAAAAGATGAAGAATATGAATGATCTCAATCTATCAGATTAATGGGAGTTTAGGTTCACCAGCTTGAACTTGGGTTTGTGAAGCTTGAAGTCAGCAGAACAAGTACTCCCAGGACTGACAATCTTTCTTTCTTCCAAAAGACAAACAAGAGCCAAAGTATAAATAACTTTAGAGAAAAATGCAACTCCTCTCTTTCACCTTAATAGACATAATTTTTATCACTATGACTTTTCTGATTTTTATTTCTGTATATGCTTAGTTTTAAATGATTATAATTTTATACATACTAAACATTTTATTTTTAAAATTTATTTATTTATTTTTTAAAAAATCAGAATATTATGGGGGTACAAACATTTTGGTTACATATAATGCCTTTGTATGGCCCAATCCATAGCTACAAGTGTGCCCATCCCCCATACAGTACGCTCTGCACACATTAAACATTGGATTTTTTTACCAATCATTATTTTGTATGCTTCTTTATCATTTTAAATGATTACACAGAAGTCTATGTAATCTACATAGAAGTTACTGGATAATAATTTACTTAGTCATGTTCATGTTTTTGGACCTTGGAGCTTTTATCAATATTTAATCTAAATGACACATAGAAACCATTTATTTGTTTCCCTTTAATTAATTCTTTGAGATAACAGGCATGGTGGCTGACTAGTGGCAGATGTAAAGGCCTTGGAGGAAGAAAGATTTGAGCTCAGAACCCCACTTTGACACTTTTAGGCAATGTGCCCCTGAGAATGTTAATTATCTCGTCTGACGCTCAGATGCCTCTTTAGAATAGGCTAATAAGTCTCAAATGAGAAAACACAAACACAGCATCTAACATGCAGTTGCGATGTGGTCATAGCATAATGAAGGGCAGCTATTGTGCTGCAGTGAAAGTTATCAAGTAAGATGTCCAGAGCTTTCCCGGATCCTCCACTTCCCCCATCTCTTTTCCACTTAAAGAGGATGTTTTTTGATTGCTGGAATAAAAGCCAGGGTATCTACCACAGTAAGCACAGGAAAGTAGAGAGAAAGTTCCACATAAGGCAGAGTTTAGGGGGATAGTTTTACAACATTGATATATGAGAGGTTCTGGAGCATACATGAAAATTAGAGAATGAAGGAAGGGGTTTGGTTTTGTTTGGTTTTGTTTTTGACAGTCTCACTCTTGTTGCCCCGGCAAGAGTGCCGTGGTGTCAACCTAGCTCACTGCAACCTCAAACTCCCAGGCTCAGGCTATCCTCCTGCCTCTGCCTCCCAAGCAGCTGGGACTATAGACACACCCCACCATGACTAGCTAATTTTTTCTATTTTAGTAGAGACGGGGTCTTGCTCTTGTTCAGGATGGGCTCAAGCTCTGAAGCTCAGGTGATTCTCCCACCTCGGTTTGGTGGGAGAAACCAAATGTTCACATTGGAACCTTGAGAAGGGGACAACATCCAGGGTAAGTGAGGCCTGAAGCAGAGTCACCCTCACCACAGATACACACACACAGGGATGCACACATGCACAGACTACAAATATACAGGAAAGCTTTACAAATATCATAAACACCCTGAATGGAAAAGAAATGCTTTAATGCCTGAAGAGCCATGGGTGCAATGAACTTGGTGGGACTGGGATGGGTAACTGGCTTCAGCTAGCTGGTTGGAAATGAAATTTAGATCTTTTTAGCACCAGAGATGATATTACCCCAACACATCAATCACCAGCAGGAGCACCAACAGCAGCAGCCCTTTGGTTTCTCTTTCTCTGGAGTCATTTCTCTTCCTGCCAAATGCCAAGACCCTCTTTCTGGGTAGGGAAGGAGGGGCAAGCAGGTAACAGAAGGCAGTGTTCAAGGACAGATCTTGTTTCATCACCTTAAAAGAGGACTGCTAATAAGCCTATAGCATTGTTAATTAGTTATAATGCTGGCACTCTAATAGAACATTGTGCTTCATTCCTTATATTGGCAGATGGAGAGTAGGATATGCCTCTCCCTCTGGCATGGGGATAGCAGTCTTTTAAGAAATTAAGTCATATAAGTACCTTTAAAACACAGTTATAGTTTTTATTTCATACTTAAAACCACTCCTTCCTCTTTATGTGCAATACCACAAACTTTCCAGAATAATTTACTCCATAGATCCCTCTTAGAAGACAGAAACCTAAGAACACATTGATTATAAAGGAGCATTAATGGAAGAGTCTTTCTTGAAGTTAGGGGTATAAAGTGTTTCTATGTTACCAAAAACCATCTACCCAAATACCACAAAATAAATTTCTTAACAGAATCCTTCCTTCCACAATCTTAGGCTCATATCCTGCTTAAGGCAAAGATGAAAACTTGTACAGCAGACATAATACTGTACCTCTATGAGCATTAGCTAACTGCATTGCAAATGTTCTGCCTGTTATCCATCTATTTTGTGTTCTGGGCAACACAGAATTTTCTGGCAAAGGGTTTTGGACCACAATGTCTGGGGGATTAAAAGGGAATGTGTTCCAGTGGGAGTTCTTAATCTGCTGCAAAAATAAAACAAAACAAAGAGGAAAATGTCATGCCAGCTATTAAAATGCCAGTTTTACAGTGGCTTGAAATCCTTGCAAGGAAATAGTCAAGGGAACAGAGAAATCAGTGGGTAATCAATTAGGAATATGTGGAAAGTGCTTTGACATGAAAAAAAGAGAACAAAACACCATTATAATCACAACTTGCTCACAATTAACAAATAGAGAGGAGAAACTATTGCCTGAGGCACATCATGACTTTCAGGATTTGAAGAGAGCATACACTGAGGACACATCCCTTTGGGAATGACGATAAAAAGCAGTGGGCTGCAAAGTGTAGTCCCAGACCAGCAGCATCAGTATCACAGGAACCTGTTAGAAATACTAACTCTTCACGAGATCTCACCTTACTCCTATTAGAATGGCTTTTATTTAAAAGTCCAAAAACAGTTGATGCTGGCATGAATGCTAAGAGAAAACAATGCTTATACCTTGTTAGTGGTACTGCAAATTAGTACACCTCTATGGAAAACAGTATGGGGATTTCTCAAAGAGCTAAAAGTAGACCTACCATTTGATCCAGCAATCCCACTACTGGGTATCTATCCAAAGGAAAATAAACCATATTTTATCATAAAGACACCTGGTTATTGAAGCACAATTCACAGCTGCAAAGATCTGGAATCAACTCAAGTGCCCATCAATTCATGAGTAGATTAACAAAATGTGATATGTATGTGTGTATATATATATGTATGTATATGTATGTGTGTATATATATATATATATATGTACACTATGGAGTACTACTCAGCCATAAAAAAGGATTAATTAATGCCTTTTGCAGTGATGTGGAAGGAACTGGAGACTATTATCCTAAGGAAAGTACCTCAAGGATCAAAAAACAAACACCACATGTACTCTCTAATAAATTGGAACTAACTGATGGGTACACGTGGGCACAGAGGGAATAGAAGTCATTGGAAAACAAGCAGGGGGAAGGGAGGGAAGGGGAGGGGCAAAAGCCTACCTACTGGGTACAATGAACACTACTCGGGTGATAGGCACACTTATAGCCCTGACTCAAGCATAACAAAAGCTATCCACATAACAAAAACATTTGTACTCCCTTAATATTTTGAAAGAAAAGAAAAAGAAAAGAAATATTAACTCTTGGGCTCCGCCTTAACTAGTGAATTAAAAATTCTGGGATGAGGTCCAGAAATGTACATTTTAACAAATCTTCAAGGTGATTCTAACGCCTGCTAAAGTTTGAGAACCGCTGGAGTTACACTTCAAGTAGGCTTTCATTTCCATGCCACATCATCCATGGTGCATGTCTAGAATTTTAAAAAGGATATTAACCTTTACATTTTTGCTTATTTTAATCCAGTGTTGTTAGTGGAGGCAATAATAAACACAAAAGTGTGGTCAATAAACAGCAATAAGTAATCTATAATGACAGAAAAAGGCCAATAGTGGAAAATATACAAGTAGTTTTTTATTTTCTATTTCTTAACAGTCGAGCGTGAGTACCTTGAAATTCTACTGATGCAAAAATCATATTTGTTTTCATTTGGGAGCAATCTTAGGAACATCTGTTGCCACCTTCTCATTTTACAGATGCGGAACCTGAACGGGGTGAGGTTTTACTGACATGCCCAAGTAAAACAGCAAGTTTATGATCCCGGAGCTGAGGAGAAGAGATCTCAGGTAAGTTTAAATTGAGTAGATATTCTTGATTGGGGGGTGTTGTGAATAAAGTGCTTATCCACATTTTATGAAATTATATGGATCATCCTGGCTCCTCCTAGAGACTGGTGCTAAGACACAAATTGATGGAGGAACACATGCTCTCTCAGGGGGCGGTGGCCCAACAGATGGATCAACACAGCAGACCATGGCTCCAGCTGCAAGGCTGCCTTTGCCAGGGAAATGAAAGAGCCTTTTCACTCCGTTTCCTCCCTCCCCCATGCCAGGCTCAGCACCAGCCCCCACCCCCACCTTCCGTCTGTGAACACTTTCTTCAATTCTGGAAGGAAATCGTAAACGACTTGCCCGAAGAGGATCGCTCTTGAGTGAGTAAAGGCGTAAACTTTATTATAATTATTAATCATTATTGTTTTATGTATGCTCTATAGCTCTCCTTCTTTCAGAAGGTACAGGGGGTGGGGTTCATTTTTGAGGGCTTATTATCTGTCCCATCCCCTACCTGGCCTCAACGTCTGCAGAAGGCAAAGGTCTAGAGAGTCATGTCCTCATTGGGTCCATGTTTTTGTTCTTTCGACAGTGCTGAGTTCACTGCTTTGCACACAAGGGCGCCATAAATATTTGCTGAATTACTGAGAGAATGTGAGAGAGCAGTGAGGGAAAATGGCAATATAATGCATAGGAAAAGTTTGCTGGTTGTCAGACAAGAGGAACTCCCTGAGAGTTGACTGTTTTGTTTGTTATTTTACTTATAGGAGTAAAGACAGTGAGAGGACATGGAATCATGTTAAAGTCACCCTGAAGTAAATGATAGCAAACCAGATCCTTATGTATTTCCAAGTCTGGGCAGAGAGATAGCCCCATATTTTCTTGGAGCAAAGTGTGTTGGGCTTGGAAACACTCCAAACCAGCATCTAGGCAGCAGCTAGCAGTTGGGATAAGTCAGTTATGGTTCCAAATGGAAATTAAAACTCAGAGCTAACAAAAAGCCTTTGACGGAACCACAGCAGGATTTGGAGACAAAATTGTGTTACATGGCATTACAGTATTCAGGTGTCCATGAGTACTAAGAGATCATTACCTGCAATCATGAAGAACATAAAACTAAAATGTCAGTTATAGGACATTTAGGAGTAAATGGTAATACTCCTAATAATTCTACTTTTTTTTTTTTTTTTACGACAGCTTCTGCTGTGGCTTTTAAGGGACCAAATGAATTAATACAAGTTATGTTTTTTCTTTCTGCCTGGGCCTTTTGCTGTATAAAGCCTTAGTAAAGAGTGATGTGGACAAGATTTGACACTTGGAGGACAAAAGATGGGGGGCAAATGACTTTGGAAAAAAAATCATTAGCCAATTTAATTTTGAGAAAAATAACAATATTTAAAGAAAATATTCTGTAATTTATTTTTTAAATAAAAAATATGCTCAAAAATGTATGGTGTAATGTACTAAGATTTTTAATTTTACCTTTAGTAATGACTAATTGGAAACGTGAAACAAACATATATAATTATAGATAGCTTGACTTCTCTTAATATTGAATTTAACACACAGTAACTAACTGACTAAATCAACAACATTACATCCATGTTTTAAGTTCTAACACTATGGCGTGCAACTCTGTTAGGAAAGGCAGTTTTCTACTGGCAGTTTCTTTTTTGTTTTGTTTTTGTTTTTTGTAAGGAGTGGTAAAAATATATTGGCCAGAGAATTATGGAAATTGTGAAAAATATTTTGTTACAGTGATTGATAAACATGATCTCAATAAGTTCTCTCTGTACCATTTTTTATAATCTTTCTTCCTCAAAAGTTTGCCCAATTGTTTTATGTTCAATTGGAAGCTCATATAAACCTGGTAAGGGCAGAGGACATGCCTGTGTTGTTTATTCCTGTATCCTCAGCAGCTTATAAAGTGCCTAACATGTTGGAAAAATGGAAGGGGGAAGGAAAGAACAAAAAATAGTCTTTATTTTTTGTTGACATGTGTTAAATATTTCTGATTGATCACTTCCTTGAAAGAAAAGTGATAATAAGCCTTAAAGTTTTCTAGTTATGATCATTTCACTAGGGGCAAAGGTGTACAAACATTAATATATATGTATTGAATACTTTTCTTGTTTATAATATTTAGACCTAAATGAGAACAGGAAACACACACAAAAAAATTATTGCCTTAAAATTTGCAGAGGCAAATGATTATTCTTCCTTATTCTGAGAATATATTATTTTAAGAGCTTAGGGAAAATAATTTTAATATTTATGTGTATTATTACATTTGGAACAAAAATTCTTTCTGACATTTCTTAATTGAAGTGGAATTCTGTACCAGATGACTATCATCACATTCGTAAGTGAAAAGAAATCACTGGTGAAGGAGAAACCCTGCTTCTCCTTTGCTTGCATAGCTAACAAAGCTGGGAATACACTGCCATCTACCTCTCCATCTGCTCTCAGATCCCCTGCTCTAAGAAGAGCTTACAGTATATTTTCAGCCTTTTATAACTAATACATTTTCAGAACTCAGCTGCACTCAAAATTTCAGCTAGAAACTAGGTTCAGTGTCATAAATGGAGTCAATACTTTGCACATAACAGGTACCCAAATATTTGATGGATTCATTAAAATTGCTGATCCATAAAATCATTCTATGTGGGCAAGAAGTTGGAATGGGGAGAGAAATATAAGGTTATCTTTAAAATAATGAGGAGGCTTAGCAACTAGAGGGAGGTGTGCCAGGTAAGGGTGCTGGTGAAGGCGGTGATAGTAGTGTGATAATTTTGATAGAGAGATAGGACAAGATTCCATGGAAGTTGTGGCATTTGAGACGGATCTAGAAAGCAAAGGGTTGCAGAATGCAAGGTCTGTTCCCAAAGAGCTGGAAGTGTGGCACGGCTAGAACAGAGAAGACATAAAGAGACAGAAAGAGGAGATACAAAGCTGAGTAGGGAAGTCAGATCAGATTTTATGGAGGGCTTTGAACACATTTTGAAATCATTTAGATTTTTTCTCCAGGCAATATGGAGTCATTAAGTATTCTTAAGCAAGGGAGTGAGTGAAGTGAACAGATAGTGTTTTAGAAAACTCTGGTCACAGACAAAAGACTTAGAGAGTCCAGAGAAAGGAGGCTACTATAAGAATCCAGGTGAGACATGACAAGTCTGATAGAGTGGTGGCAGTGGGATGTTTAAAGACATTTTGAAGGTTAAATTCACAGGATTTGACTGTTGGGTCTGTGTGGGATGGGGTAAGGAGACCAGAGGAGAGAGTTCTTACCCCTAACTCACTGGGCACTCTAGAGTAAGGTGGAATGTCTTTAGTCCATTCATGCATTCCACAAATACTCATTGCCCACTGGTTCTACTGTAGGCATTATACTGGATTCTGGAGCTACAGAGATAAAAAGATATGGTCATTGTTCTAAAGGTGCCTACAATATACATACAAATTAAAATACTCATCATTACAAAGTCAAAAGACTTTTGAAAAAGGTGGGAAAATATTGCACATGAATGACCAATATCTTTCATTTGTGCTCAACAGAGAAGTAGGTAGATGTCAATAGGCAGTTTATGGGAGAAGAAATACATGTAGAGAGGCTTGGCATTAAAACAAAACAAAACAAAACAAAAAAACATTTCAGGGGAGATTCTAGAAGACTGATAAAAATGAAAGAGAATAATAACATAGTAACATATCCCATTTTTATAAACTAGAACACATACACACATAGACACACATGCTGACAGCAGGACAAAAGGGAAGTGTACACACCAAACTGTAAATAGTGGTTCTTCCTGGACAATGAGGTTACAGAGCCAGTGGTTTTTACTTCATTCTTTGTGTTTTTCTTTATATTGTATATATATTTTTACTTTAACTATATGTTGTTCCTATAAGCTAAAAATAACCAATAATAATATTTCTACATTGGGAAAAATGATAAAGAGCACTGAGTGGAGAGGGGGTGGGAAGAGAGCAGTCCTGGCACGTGGAAAGGAATAGGAAGGGTGGAGCGTGTGTGAACCCCTAGCAGTTCAGCATCACACAGTGTCAAGTGCCAGAGGGGATAGCTAGGCAGTCCTGGGAAAGAGTTTAGGTCTTGTGCTAAAAGTGAGAGGGAACCAGTGACAGCTGGCTCAGATTAGGAGTGACACATGTCCCATGTGCAGATGCCTCTGGGGCCAGGGCAGAGAATAGCTGAAGGGGGCTAGTTAGTGGCAGAGAGGGCACATAGGAGGCTTCTATTAAAGCATAGCCCAGAGGTAATGGGGCCCCTGTGGCAGGAGGACCTTGGTCAAGTTCCCATCACAACCTGTCTGTGCCTCCGCTTCTCTGCAAAACAGCAAGAAAAATAGCATCTACCTAAAAGGCGGATGTATCATCAATCTAGTGAAGGTCAATTTTCAGGACCCCTTACTTGCACCAGTCCAAGCATTTACTTTTGCAAATACTAACTTTGATATCTGTGATTTTCTATTTTTTTTTTTAAAAAGGGCCCCTAAACTGTACAAGTTTTAGGCCTCATGAAACTTAGATCCACTTCTGACAAAGTGTAGGATTGCTATTAGCATGAAATGAGCTGATCTACTGTGGTGTGTGGGACTGTATCCAGCACATGGCATGTGCTCTAGGAGTGTTGGCTGTTTTTATTACGTGAGGGTATAATATGTGGGGCTAGAAGCACCTGGGATGATCCCTGGGTGTTCTGGTTTGGGCCACTAAGTGTTATTCCCCACAAAAGAGACTATTTAGTTTAAAAATGAAGGAATACAGGTTTAATTTTGGATATGTTGAATCTGAAGGTGCAGATAAAATATTCAGAGGTTGGCCATGAAATGGTTTCAGTATAAAGTTCAAGAGGGAGGTTAGGGTTATAAATTTGGGAATTACCCAAATACAAAAGATAATTAAAGACACCATTATGGATGACAGGGGCCAGGGAAAGTGTGGAGAGTGAAAACCGAATAGGGCTCATGAAAGAATCCTGTGGAACATTAACCTTAATAATCAGGCAGATTGTGATGGTGGTTACATGAATACAATTTCACAGTACTGCTGTATACTGCATCCCTCTCAAAAAACAAGTATGTGTAAAAACTGGTAAGATCCAAATAAGGTCTTTAGTTTAGTTAATAGTACTCTACCAAGGCAAATTTCCTGGTTTCGGTAATGTACTATGGTTATGTAAGATGTCATGTTTAAGTAAAGCCGGAAGAAGTGTACACAAAAATATTATTTTTGCATCTTCTTATAGTATTTATTTCAAAATAAAAAAATTTTTAAATCCAGGCTGCAACAACATTCCTGCTGATACCCTGGGATATGCCCAGTTAGACAAAGCTGACTCAAAGTTGCCTGATAATTTAGAGTCAGAGACTGTGTACTGATATTATTTTATGGCTATCTTGAGCAGTGATCTAATTTCAGGCTAATTTCAAAAGAATGTGACCAACTGCACAAGCTAAAACAAGTGAGGCATTCATGCTACTATTAGTCTCCGGTGAATTAAAAACCCTAAATCTTTATAGGTGGAAAGAAAGAATCAAATAGAAGCAGAGAAGACTAGATGGGAAAATTCAGAGAAGAGGGAGAACCAAGAGGCAGCACCTCAGCATTTCTCTGTGGCACTGGAGATCTAAGAAGGGGGGGGTAGTACCTACTTATTTATTTTTTAAATTTTTAAATGTTTTTATTTCAAAATATTAGGGAGATACAAATGTTGTTACATGGATCGCTTTTATAATGCTTGAGTCAGGGCCCATCACCCGAATAGTGTTCATCGTACCTATTAGGTAAGTTTTTACCCCTCCCCTGTCCCCCCTCTTCCCCTTCTTGATTTCCAATGACTTTTTACTTCCCTCTGTGCCCAGATGTGCCCATTGATCAGTTCCAACTTATTAGAGAGTACCTGTGGTGTTTGTTTTTCCATTCTTCTACTCTCTTTATGACCTATTAGGAGGAGCCATATGAAAGTGCTGATACTTGTATGTTCATAAGGTTCCATCTAATATTTGCATAACAGTAAATTTTTAAAATGAATGGCAGTTTCTTCTAGTAGTGATTTTATTTGAAAAATTCATGGGTTCTATGATTCAGAACTTGTTTTTTTGTGTGTGAAAGAGTTCAGAAATATCATCCTCACAGAGGACTCAAATTCATTTCACTATTTGTGGTTCTGCTTTAATTTAATGCATTTTGTTTCCAAAAGTTTGAGGTAATACAAATGGCATGAATTATTCAGAAAATTGGAATATACTTTGTATATACTTTGGTTTGTTTCCAACTGGAAATAGTTACATGATATTACTGTTGAAATTGATATAGGCAGCATTACTAGATTAATGTACAATATTGTTACACTGTGAATTTGAAAGTTAGCTCCGTTGACAGTGTGTCTGTGCCTAATGTGAGTATTAGAGAAATTACAACAACTCCCATGACATTTCTGGACAGAATTGTCTAACAATTATAGATTCTCAAGTTATTATGGAACTTTTAGAGCCTGCATGGCATCTCAAAAGGTTCTTTGTCTATGGAGGTATTAAAAGATTACCGAGAATAGGAAAGAGTCACTTTCTGTTGAAAGAGGTGACTAACCAATACAAGTACTTATGTGAAAATTCAGAATTTGGCAGGGGAAGGTGGCAGGAGAAGAATTCTTATCACATTCATGCAATAACTTTGATTTGGCAAAACACACACTTTCAAAGATTCTGGCACATCTGTAAACCATAGACAATAAAACTCAAAGAGTGGTTCTGAGAGTAAAATGAAAGTACTCTGTATAAAAAACACTCATACAATGCTTGGTACTTGGAAGATACCAAAAAAAATGTTAGTTCTCTTTCTTCTTCCTTTTCCTATTTGCATAATCCTCCCATCTCAGGAAACAGTGCCTAGTGTCACACCCACTTGCTTAATCCCTGATTCTGAAAGACACTCTTAACATCTTCCTCTGTACCTCTCCCTCCCTCCTAACTGCAGTGAATTTACTAGGGTAGCTGTAAGACTCATCATCCTGGAACTGCTGATTTAGTTTTACATGTTTCCCTATTGGCAATGTAGGAATTTTCTTCAAAGATCAAAAATCTAAATTCAGGGAAAAAAATCTTTAATTCACCAAAGTGGTTGCAGGGTAAAATTCAGCATCTACTATGTTCAAAGAGTATGGTTTTTTTAATCTAACAAGCCTCTTACATAGTGTGTACAATGTGCCAGCAATACCCTAAGTACTTTATACATACTGACTCATAAAGAAGTTACAATCATTACTCTGTTTTACCAGGAGGAACCGGGTAGCACAGATGAATAAACCAAATGTGCTCAAGCTCAGTAAGCTGGTCAGTGGCAGACCTAGAACTTGAACTCTGAATTTGAACAGCTGGCTCCAGGAACTGTGCTTTTGGCCACTCCAATCTGCTCTCTCTCCTGGGGTTCAGAGCTTTGCACACCTTATCTTATTTAATCCTAAACACAATCCCATGAAGTTGTTATTGCTATCCCAATTATATTATATAAAGTTGAGAACTGAAGCTTTGAAAATCAGTGACTTACCTACTAAGCTCATATAGGTGTAGATCAGACTTCTAGGATTCAAACACAGTTCCATTTGATAGTCCATGATGTTAAGTATATGTTTGTTTTTAGAGCTAAACTGAAAAAGGCACCTTTAGCCTTGGCAAAATTACTCTCTTTTCTAAGATATTTCAGATTTTTCCACAGTATATTAACTGTTGGAACCTAGATAAACAACAAGACAATTGTGACATTAAAAAAATATGTAAAGGTTTTAAAGTCAAAGACTTCAATTTAAATTACAGCTTTACCACTTACTAGCCACAAGACCCCGACCATATTATTTAATTTCAATAAACCCCATTCCATATGGCTTTGGAGGGAATAATGTATGGTATGGAAACTATTCATGCTGAGCATACAATATTCAACAGAATGTTAATTTCAATAAAATAATAATTCCCAAAACAAGCTTTGGGAATCTTGCCTTTGTCAGGTACTTGCTATGTGGTTTGGAACATATTATATAAACTTTATGAGCTTCCATTTCTTCATCTAAGATAGCTACCTTTTTCGTTCATTGAGGAGTGAAATAAAATGATGAGTTAAAACAGTCAGTAGGACTTTCCACTTGGGTCCAAAAAATAATATGTATTACTACTGTCCCCAATTTAATTTTTCAGAAAATTTAATGAAAACTATTTTTATCTGAAGGAGTCCATCAAATTCCAAAGTCTTCAACTTATTCTGATGGAGTAATTTATGGACTTGGCAAGTAGGCTTAATATATATGTAGTTTCTGTGGGCTGCTTAAAACTGGATTTTGTTAGCATTTTAATTTCTACTTCTTCAGACTGCACAAGAAGCACCCCGCTGTTATAATCAAGACTTGCAACTAAACATAGTTCAGTGATGCTCAGCTATGCTGTGATCTGACAAGTGTCTAATATAAAGTAAACTAAGGAAATATTTTGGAAGGGAAAACTGGCTCTCTTGAAAGAAACAGAGATTTTCAAGACCTACTTCTGTCCTAAATGTGAACTTTTTACATAGCCAATAGCTTCTTTTTGCTGATAATAGTAATACAGCAGCGTTTGTTTAAGCCAAATTGGAACTATGAGAAAAAAATAGGTAAATTCAAATTCAAATTTGATTGCTCATCTTCATATCTTAGTCATGGCAACAACAAGTCTTTGCAGCTGTGTTAGGGAGACGAGTTATTAAAGTTTGTATTGCTCCAGGGAAAAGAACTTTATTTTTAAAAGAAATAATAGCAATTAGAGTTCTAAATGTGCAAAAAAAAAAAAAAGAGTAAGAAATACAGACTTTTCAGAAAATGAAAACGATTGAATAATAAAAAGGAAATTCCGGAAAGAACTGTTTGAAAATTTTAACTGTAAATATGTGACTCTTGGTGTATTTTTACCAAATTTCATAAAATAGCAGGGTCTTTTTTATTTTTGGAATAGTGTCTTTGCTTATGAACTCTCTGTGAACAGATGCATTTCCATGTGTTATGTTGAGTATTGTGTTCCTTGTCATCAGCTGTAACAGCAGTATATTTGGGCAATCAGGCTTGGATGGACCAGCCCCAAGAACTAAGAGTCCTGCAGATGAAATTTCTGGGCCTTGATCTCTCCATCCAAACTGCCTGCATCTTGCCAGAAAAATGTTAGCTGTTCTGGAATGGGAATTACCCCCAAGACTATCGAGGATGTCCAATAATGAATTTCTGGTGTTTGGTGGATTTTACCAGCAATTTATCACGTTTTTCTTCTTGGCTGTCCCAACAAGTGATCTACTCAAGAAAGAGAGAGGCTTTTGTCTGACTGGTAGTGCAGACAACTGGCACTAAAGACATTCTCTTCTCTTCTTGTCATCCTTGATTACACAGAACTTCAAAAGCTTTTACAAGTATACATAGAATACCTAAACATAGCCACCATTTTAATAATGTAGAATTCTTAGCCACTCTGCTGTCTTACCAAGGGGTTCTTTCGCATTCCACTTATAGGTTCCTTTTATAAAAAGACAGGCAGTGCTTAAACAGAAGTTCTGTGGGTGCGACTTGCTACAGAGCTGCATATCTCCTTGCCAGGGGGCTGAGGGGCTTTCTTCAAAGTGGCCATGCTTTCACATTCTTCTGAGAAAACTACTCAGGCTTTCATCAGCTCACCTCTGTATGAGCAAAGGTGACACTCACTTGTTCAGGTTGGGTCTCATCTGCACTCCCAGCAAGTCATCCCAGCGGTGATGGCCATCACTGTGCAATGAGCTTGGATAGCAGAATTCCCATCCATGCACTTACCTCCTCAGGAAGCAGGTCCCAAATAAGGCCAACTATCCATCCTGGGAACAAAACTACTAGATCTCCATAGTGGTAAGAGCAGGAGCGTCCACACTCTGCCCCACCGCAACACAGATCATAGCTTGATGGTGACTCAGACCCCAACAGCATCAACAACTCTGAGAACCTGCAAAGCGTGGCCTTTACCAAGGGACAGTTGCCTTTGTCAACTAGAGGAGAAGGAGTCTACATTATTTAAAAGTTTGTGGGGAAAATAGGTTTATGTGATAATGATTAAAACTGAGTCTTTAAAAGCATTTATATTTTTTATACTTCCCCAAATAAAACAAAACACATTTAATATACTGAATCAATAACATATAAAATATTTCACACATTTCAATTTAGTAAAGAATGTATACTTGTCCAATTAACTTCCATTTACCTTTCCTTGCTTACCAGAAACTTCTCAGGATTTCACTCCTTCCAGATGTATGTAAATTCACTTTGCTTTTTTGCAAATAACATAGTTGTTGTCCAAATCACAAAACATGGTCAAACATTCCTCTCTCCTGGCTAATTGGAGAGCTGCTTCTTTACTAATTATAGATTTGGTGTGGCTCTAGTCTTCTCTCCTAGCTAAGATTTAAGATCCTCTACCCAGAATGACCCCTGCTTCCTGATAGTACCCAATCCAGAGCAAAGCCTTGCTTCCTTACACCAACACCAAAATCACCATACACAATTCCAAATCCTACGAGTCTTTTCTAACACCCTTTCACTGAGATGTCTCATAACTCCCCATGGCATGTGTTCTCCCTCACTTTCAATGAGCAATAAATCCAGTCTGTTAAAACTTCAACTGTATTCTCGGTGGTCTTTGACAGAGGGCATTGACATTTGCTTCGAACCTCCATCTTTACCTCCTATAGAAGATCTGATGTCCTCTTCAAAATGTCCAAAAGTTCTCCAGGGGCTTATATTCTCAAGGACATCTCTAGTTCTGAGCCTTTGCTTTCCCTAATTTAGTTCAGTTCATGGATTCTCTCAACATCATTCTTTGTCTTCCTCTTACATATCTGTCTTGTGCTATATCACAGAAACAATATGGACATCAAGCCTCTTTCCTAAATCTCTAGCCAAAGCAAAAGAGAACAAAACAAAACCAAAAACCCACATTTTTTGGCAAACTGCACTAAAGAATTCAGGAAGTCTAGGCTTCTTACATTATTACAGCAAAACAACCTTAAACACAAAATTTGAAAACTGTGTTCTGAGTCCTTTGTCAATCTGTCATGTTGCACGGTTTCTCTTCTCTGTTTTCACTGCTCCTCATTCCCTGCTCTACCTGTGCAAATTTTTGCTCATCTGCAATGTAGTGACAGTATGCAAAATGCTGTAGGTATTCTTTCCTTTATTTGTCTCTTTTTGCCTGTGTCCTTGGGGACCCATCTTAACTCTAGCTGGTTTACGAAAGTATTTTCCTAAAGCAACTCAGTTGCTATAAGAAGAATTTGGGTGTCTGGTTTTAAATTCCATCCCACCACCCTGTTATACACACAAATAGGACATAAGATAGCTAAGCCCTTAGCCTATTTTTAACATAATACAAAAAGCATGATTTGGCTGATACAAAGTCAAATCAGCTGAGTAAAATAATATTAAATTGTTTTCCATACTTTAATCAATGGATCGTTTTTTAATTTCATTTTATTTTAAGAAAATATGGGAGTACAAACATTTTGGTTGCATTTTATATCTTTGCCTCTCCCTAGCAAGGGTTAGAGGTATGCACTTCCCCTCCACAATGCTCACCGCATCCCTCAGATGTGGGTCTACTCCCCTAACCCCCAAATCCCTGGTGAACACCACCACCATTTGAGCACCATAATGTTAATCAGTCAGTACCAATTTGATGGCGAGTACATGTCGAGCCCATTCTTCTGATCTTGTGTCACCCCCATTCTTCTGATCTTGTGTCACCTCACTTCGGATAATGGGCTCAAGCTCAATCCAGGATAATATAAGCGGTGCTAGATCACTGTCATTTCTTAGAATTGAGAAATATTCCATTGTGAACATATACCAAATTTTAAAAATCCACTTATGAATTGACAGGCACCTGGGTTGTTTCCATATCCTTGCAATAGTAAATTGTGCTGCCATAAACACTCAGGTGCAGATGTCATTATTATAGAATGTCTTATGCTCTTTGCACAGCTGAGGAAATTATCATTAGAGCAGACAGACAACCTACACAATGATAGAAAATATTTGCTCTCTACACTTCCAATAAAGGTCTGATAACAAGATTCTATCTAGAACTCAAAAGAATTAATAAGAAAAAATCAAACAACCCCATCAAGAAATGGGCAACGGAAATGAACAGAAACTTTTCCAAACAAGACAAAATAATGGCCAGCAAACATATTAAAAAACACTCAACATCTCTAATCATTAGAGTAATGCAAATCAAAACCACAATGTGATATCACCTAACCCCAGTGAGACTGGCCTCTATCAAAAAATCCCAAAACAAGAAATGCTGGCGAGGATATGGAGAGACAGGAACACTCTTATACTGCTGGTGGGACTGCAAATTAGTGCAATCTTTGTGGAAAAGAATTTGGAGATACCTCAAAGAGCTAAAAATAGAAATACCATTTGATCCAGCAATAACATTATTAGGCATCTACCCAAAAGAGCATAAGACATTCTACAATAGATTGTTTTTTTAAAGAGTATATACATTTGCTTAAATAAAGACTGGATGGTTCATATAGAAATACATATGTATCTCTAATTCTATGAGTCAGAAATTTTTTTTTCTATTTTTATTCAATTTTTTTTAAAAGCTGCATTTGTCCATCATCCATGATATTTGGTCTGCAAGAGGAAAATTATACTGGACTAAGGGAACATCACAACTATTAATCTTTGTCAAATGCATGCTTTTCACATAACAAAGAGTTCAAGGGAAAAAAAATGTAAGATCATAGATCGGAAACCTTGCCCCATGTAGAGCTTTTGGAACATTATTATCACATTAGCCTTCAACATAATGTACTCACCAGGAGTTTTATTTTACACCAAGTCATCCCACTGATTTCAACATGAGCTTGGAGCAATTAAGTTACATCACCGGTGATAACCTAGATCAGTCACAAGATGGATTCCCTGACATCTAACTCAATTCATGGTTAAAGTAATTTACACATTTCTCACTTTAATGGCGTTCATCATTATATCATACACTCTCTGAGTTTTCTAATACCCATAGACAATATTATATAATAGATGAAGAGGAAAAGATACAATATACTTTCAGCATGTGAATAAAAGAAACTGGACAACCTGAACGAAATTGAATCTATGATTTATAATGAAACTTTCAGAATACTCATCTAAAATATAGGCTTCTACATAAAAGTGTTTGGCATAATCACCCAGGAATTGTAATTATAATGGTGATTACATGCCCACATACCCAAATAGGCATATATCACTCCTAAAGTCCATTAGCAAGTAGATTTTTCTTCTGAGGACACTTATGTTATCAAAATAATGTTATACATAATATTACTGTTTTATTAATGGCACTACGACAGGGTTAAAAATAGTATTCACATTTACCTTTTTTTGTACTGTGAAGTAAATTCTTGATTAAAAGAATAATGTCATCAATCTTAATGAAGACAGACTTAAAATTATTCAGATTTACTTAGAACAAAACTTCTCTTTGCAAATATTTAAAAATTTTATCAAAGAGGCCAGGCATGGTGGCTCACACCTGTAATCCTAGCACTTTGGGAGGCCGAGGCAGGCAGATCACTCAAGGTCAGGAGTTTGAGACCAGCCTGAGCAAGAACAAGACCTCGTCTCTACTAAAAATAGAAAGAAATTAATTGGCCAACTAAAAATATACACAAAAAAATTAGTCGGGCATGGTGGCACATGCCTGTAGTCCCAGCTACTTGGGAGGCTGAGGCAGAAGGACTGCTTGAGCCCAGGAGTTTGAGGTTGCTGTGAGCTAGGCTAATGCCACCGCACTCTAGCCCGGGAAACAGAGTAAGACTCTTGTCTCAAAAAAAAAAAAAAATTCATCAAAGAGAGAAGAAATTCAAAAATCATTAATATTTATTGAGTACTGACTTTAAGTGAGTTATGTCAGTTAATTTAGGAAACTGGCCAGGCACAGTGGCTCATCTCTGTAATCCTAGCACTTTGGGAGGCTGAGGAAGGAAGATCACCTGAAGCCAGAAGTTTGAGACCAGCCTGAGTAACATAGTGAGACTCTGTCTCTACAAAAAAATTTTTAAAAATTAGCCAGGTGTGGTGGTACACATCTGTAGTCCCAGCTACTTGAGAGGCTGAGGCAGGAGGATCCCTTGAGCCCAGAAGTTTGAGGCTGCAGTGAGCTATGGTGATACCACGTCGCTCTAGCCTGGGCAACACAGTGATACCTCAAAAAAAAAAAGGCAGGTTCAATTATCACATCACAATATTACAGATGAGAAAACAGGCCCAGAGTATTAATAGTTAAATAATAACAACTTTGAGATGAAGGTAGATTCACACTCAGGCACTTGAATTCCAGAACCAGTGGTCTTAGACCCCCACAGGTACATAGGGGTCTAACTGGAGTGTGCATACCTTTAACTGGGGTGTGCATGCCTCTGGAGGTGTGCAAAAACTTTACAAGGATGTAAGAGTTTTAAGATAATCAATGTCCAGAACTTTAATTATGTTTGTGCCATTTCCTAGCATCTCTTTTCCTAGTTCTCCTTTCACACTAGAATACTTCCTACTTTACATAAGAAATGCATAATCCTCAGCTCTCCAGATTTTATTCTGGTGCATTGCCCATGGTGTGAAACCCTCAAGAGTGCTAAATGAAAGGACAATTCAAAGTACTATTTGAGGTGAAGCCTCCTCTAAACTACCGTAACATTACCATAATAGTAATTTCCATTTAAAGATCTCACCTACCTCTTCCAATTTTTCACTGTTGTTAGAGAATGCATTATTTTTTAGAAGAATCTGGTGAGAATAAAAGACAGGGGAGACAAATTACAAATTGGAAGTTAAGTATTAGCAGCTGGTCTGTAACCAATTATTCCTATCCTGAGATGCCTACGTGGAAATAACCAAGTCAAATCTCCTTGTAAACATGCTAATTGGACGAAGATACTAGTGGAAAGATAATGGATAGTCCTTATATATGAAATGCTTTTAGCAGGGTACCTACTGTCTGTCCAGATGGCCTAAGGTAAATGAACCTGGAATTTATGGATTTTTATGGAATGGCCCACTGAAAAATGTCAGTGCCAGCTATCTAATTATATGGTATAAAATGCAGAGAGTTCATGACTGTATGGTCTGTCCAATTTCCCTAAGTCCTAAGTTTGACAGTTGATATCTCTGAAATTTCACTTTGACATTTCTTGGTTTTTTGGTGTGTGTGTTGTGTGTGTGTGTGTGTGTGTGTGTGTGAAGGTACATCCTCATTCTTTCAAACGCTTAAGCCCAGGAGTTTGAGATTTCTGTGAGCTATGATGATGCACCGTACTCTAGCCCAAGCAACAGAGACCCTGTTATAATTAAAGAGAGAGAGAGAGAGAGAGAGAGAGAGAGAGAAAACTTATAAAAGCTAATAAATTCTGTCCACCTAAGTAAAATAAATAAGAGTTGGAAGAGTTTAACAGCAGCATCATTCAATTCTTTGAATCAAGAGAAATGAAAATGCATCTACACAATTCCACCTAGAAGTGGAATTGCTAGGTGGTATAGATCTATGTATAACGTTTTAAGAAGAAGCCAAATCTTTTTTCAAAAAATTGTTGCATCATTTTTCCTGCCAGCAATGCATGAGAGTTCCAGTTTCTCCACATTCTTGCCAATAGCCATTAATATCTTTTGGATTATAGCCATTCTAGTGAGTAAGAAATCACATCTCCTAATGGTTTGATTTCCATTTCTGTAAAGACTAATGACATTGATCATATTTTCATGTATTTTCTGAACATTTGTAAATCTTCTTTGGAGAAATGTCTATTCAAATCTTGTGCTCATTTTTTTCAATTATATTACTTTTTAATTATTGTGTTGAGAGTTCCTTATATATTCTAAATACAAGTTAAATATATTGATTTAAAAATATTTTCTCACAGTCTATGGGTTGTATTTCCAATTTCCTGATGGTATTTTTTGAAGAGCAAAAGGTTTTAATCTTGAAGTTCAATTTACCAATTTTTTCTTTTACTGCTTATGCTTTTGGGGTCAGCTCTTAGAAATCATTGCTTTACCCATGTTCATGAAGATTTACTCACATTTTCTTCTAAGAGTTTTATAGTTTTAGCTCTTGTGTTTAGGTCTGTGATCCATATTTGTGTATGGTGTATTGTAGGTGTCCAAATTCTCTTTTTTTTTTTTTGCATGGATATCCAATTGTCCCATTTGTTGAAAAGACCTTTTCCCCATTGAATATTCTTCATGCCTTTGCTAAAAGTTAGTTAACTGTAAATGTAAGGGAATATTTCTGGGCTCTTAATTATATTTCACTGATCAATTCTATTCCATATATGTCTGTCCTTATGCCAGTACCACACTTACTTGATTACTGCAGCTTTGTAATAAGTTTTGAAATTGGCAAGTGTAATTCCTACAACTTTGTTCTTTTTAAAGACTGTTTTGGCTATTCTGGGTTCTTTGTATTCCGCAAATTTTATGAACTTTAGGATCAACTTTCCAATTTCTGCAAAAAGTCATCTTGGATTTTAACAGCGATTGTGTTGAATCTGTAGATCCATTTGAGAAGTACTGCCATCTGAGTAAGAGTCAATCCTTCAATCTGTGAACATGGAATGGCTTTCCATTTATTTAGATTTTTTAATTCTTTCAGCAATGTTGTATAGTTTTTAGTGTACAGTCTTGCACTTATTTTGTTAAATTTATTCACAAGTATTTATTCTTCTTTATAGTATTATGAATGGAATTCTTAATTTCATTTTCAGTGTTCATTGCTAATGTATAGAAATAGTATTGACTTTTGTATATTGATATTTTGTCCTACAACCTTTTGTTTTGTTTTGTTTTCTTGAGACAGAGTCTCACTCCATTGCCCGGGCTAGAGTGCCATGGCATCAGCCTAGCTCACAGTAACCTCAAACTCCTGGGCTCAAGTGATCCTCCTGCCTCAGCCTCCTGATTAGCTGAGACTACAGGCACACCCCACCATGCCCAGCTAATTTTTTCTATTTTTAGTAGAGACAGGTCTCACTCTTGCTCAGGTTGGACAACCCTGATGAACTCATTTATTAGTTCTAAATGCTTTGTAGTAAATTCTTTAGAGTTTTCTCTATATAATAATTTTGCTTATAGAAATTTTACATTTCCAAACACTTTAATCTTTATGGCTATTGAAAATTGTTAAAATTATATTCAAATTTATGTTTTTATTTTTTATGTAGACTCACAGGTGATCAATAAAAGATTTTTAAGAATAAAGAAATAATACACTGGGATAAAATTTCACAATATGAAATGGAAATATGAGTTCAAGAAGTAAAGGGATGATGTAAAAATTCCTCCTATTAAAGAAATGCTTGTTCATGTGGTTTTAAAACTTGATGATGATGGATGTAAAACTGTCTGGTATTTAGATTCCACTGGCTACATTTAAAAGTTATGTAACTGTTTCATTTTAAAATGTCAATTTACAATATAACAGAGATTGCATCTTTTGCAAAACTGAGTCAAATAAAAAATTTTGATAGTCAATCTAAAAATGTGGGAGAAGGTACACAGTTCTGGGGGTACTTCTTTAGGGCAGTGGTCCCCAACCTTTTTGGCACCAGGGACTGGTTTCATGGAAGACAATTTTTCCATGGCCAAGGAGGGGTGAGGGGGAAGGGGGAGAGAAGGGGGGTTTATCTGAGAGCTCACACGGTGATGTGCCAGGTTCCTGTGGCCCGGGGCTGGGGGACCACAGCTTTAGGGTGTATAAAAGCAAAAGTTTTTGAAGCAACTGTCCTAATGTATTCCTCCCTAATAGGTTTTGCTCTTTTAAGAGGATCTACCATTCTGAGAATTGAGGGAATTACCAAATGGTTCCCAATTTTGAATGTAAGACTCACTCCTAGACCAACAGTCCCCATCTTTAACTAATTTTGACTGAGGAAAGTAAAAATTCATCTGGAATAAGTCATGTGATACTTACATAAGTCATTTAACTGGTCTGAAATGCTTAGAGCACTACATAAAGCTTTTTTTTTCTTTTAAGGCAGGCATCTTTAAGAGTATAAATCTCTCATCTATAGTACTTTACTAATTTTAAAGAACTTTTGAAGAAAACTATGTTCCCTTTGATGTTCCCCTTTTAGCCTTTAATAATCTCAAATGGTATAGGCATACTTACTTTTAACACTTTTTACGATATCGGTCGATATAGTTAACACTCACACACCACTGAAACTTAAAGCACACGGTGTCAGCGGGCTTCTCGAGGCTAACTGTCCTCCAAATACAGTAGTCACAATGGTTAGTTCCAGAAGAGTTGGGAGAATCAGCCTTTGTTCTCCCTCGTGCATTGCGCCCAGGGCGCCCTCTAGAGGCCACAGGCTCTCACGGCCCACGCTCTCTCCCCTCCTGAGGCCTCGGGTTTCGCGGAGGAGAAAAAGATTGCGCAGGCGCGGGGCGGTGGCCTTGGCCCCCACCCCGGAGGCCCTGGTTAGGGGTCTGCGCGGAGCCGCTGACTGGCGAAGTTTTTTCGGGCCTCCTGCCCTAGCTCCTTTCTACCCCTACAGAGTTTTACAGTGACTCCTGGGTTCGAAGCGGAGTGACGTCCACCCACAATCCATTCAGAAGGTCAGCGTGGACAGAACCCAGGCCGCGCGGGCCCGGGACGACTCCGTGGGGACGACGCCTGGGTGGGCACACTCTCCCGAGGCTCGGCGGGGGCGCGCCTCTGCGCAGTCCCGGGCGCCGGGGCCGCGTGACGTGGCGCGCTCGGGAGCGCGCGGCCTGGAACGCGCCTTGGGAGCCGCCGGCTGGCTGGCGGGCACTGGGCACCCCAGGCGGAGCGCGGCGCGTGAGGGAGCCGGTCCTGGGCGCTGCGGCTGGGCGGGGAGGTCCCGGGGCGACGCCGAAGCGCCCGAGCGGCGGAAGGCACAGCACAGGTGGGCCGGCGGTGGCGGGGAGTAGCTCGCCCCTGCGCGGCCCTCTGGCGGGCGGGCGGTGGGAGCGCGCTGGGCCCCGCGGACTCGGCGGGGCGGGCGGGCCGGCGAGCGGGATAAAGGGCGCCGGCCCTCATCCGAATCTCAGAGATGGAGTTTTCGTTGACGGGAGCTTTGTCACCAGGGAAGAGTTTTGAGAAGTTGTTTCTAGTTAACTCCATGTCTTATGTAGGGACCCTTCGGCCTCCCCCTGACGCCCGGTTACTTCTGGGAGGGAGCGCGCGACCCTCCCGTCCCCTCGCGGTCGCGCTCCGGTGGGAGCGTCTCTGGCTGCCCCACCCCCGCTGTCTGTTTTGGCTTCCACGGGCGCCGCGACTGCCCGCCCTCCCCCGGCGCGCACAGCTTCGATAGTCTTTCTTTGCAAAAAGGTCCACGACCAGCTGCAATTATATTGGGTTGGACAGCGTTTGATTTTATTCTCTCGAATACTTTTGTTAATGTTTGCTAGGGATTGAGCTCCGGCCTAATTCTCCGTCTGAGAAAAGTTTGTCTTGGAATGCGCAGTTCCGTGACCGGGCATTATTGCGTTACCATGGGGTTGACCCAGTTTTCCACTCTGTGCTTTGTAATGAACTACTCTAGTAGTGGCTTGAGGATCCTCAGGTTTGCTTTATTGTATTGTAATGTAATGAACTTGTTGTGTTCGAGATTGTTTTTGCCTCTGAAATAACGGCCTCAGATAATTGGGAATTTAACAATTTTTCTTCGAGATTTCCGAAAGCCAAAGAAAAGGGGATATAAGAATGTCCCCAGTTATAAATGGAACTCTTTTGATGAGTCGCGCTCCTGTATAATAGACTGAATTTGATGGCTTTACTTGATCCGTTTGTAAAAGGAATGCTTTCTTTGTGGTCTGCTTCTCACCTGTGGCACTTTCTGAAACTCTGTTGTATGTAGTTTCCCTAACAAGACTCCTTGTGATGTTGACCAGTAAGCGTGATTGTTACTACTTTTGGTGTTTATGGGACTGAACTAATTTGCCAAGTGTTTTGATTCCGAATTTTCCCTTTGCTCCTGAATATTTTTTTAAAACATACATATAGTTTGAAATAAGCGTGTTTTCTTTTGTTAGAACGTTTAAAAAATTATCACTTTAAGTGTACCATGGTATCTGGAAACAGGCGTTGGTTTGTGATTTAAGACTATAATGTTGGTGTGGGTAATGTTTATTTAAATACTTCAGATTGACATTTCAAAGACTTCGTTTTCAAAGTTGAAAATTAAAAGATTGAAGTCATGTAATAACGGTTTTTATTTTTTCCAGACACTTAATAAGCACTTAATTGTGCTTAGGAGTATGATAGGCATTATTTTTAAAGTCACCACCCTAAAGTCACTATCTCTGTAAATTGACTGCTGAGAATATAGCAAACCCTCGTCACAAAATCAAATGTGATATTTTAATATAAACTTTTTTCCTGTGTTGTGATTCCCATAATAAAGTAAAATTGACGATTAGACCTACTTTTCACCTGCTAGATTTCCAGGCTCTTCTTGCTAAACTTTTTTTTTTTGTCTTCAAGATGGCGATGCAACAAGGAAGGCTGAATTCAGCAGCAGCAGCCCTGTGGAATTATTATACATCTCACAGGGCTGTTGTATAATACACACATACAACAGACACACAGACACACATACAGCTCTTTCTTTCTAATGGCCAGCTCATTTGCTCCAATGACATATTATTTAGGAAATCTTTCATCACACTATATGTAATATAAGCTTTGAAATAAATTATACTCTAGGTAAATATTGCTTCTATCAAGAGTCCCTTCGTTATGCCGTCTACCTTCAGATGCTCCCAGTTCTTTAAGGCTTTGGCTACATGCCTTTCTACCACGAAACACTCCAGGTTTCCTTCCTCCTTTCTTCACTCTGCTGACTTGTATGCATACTAGGAGCTTTAGCTTTGCAATCAAACATTTCACTTAATTTTCTTGACATGTCTTTTGAGCCATGCATTAATTTGAATATGACCCTACTGTTGACTAGTTCTGTCCTTGGACAAGTTGCTCAATATTTGTAAAACATTTTTTAAATCAAATATCAACTTCCAAGAGTTATGAGGATTGGATAAACGTTAGAAGGCTGCCAAACACATATATAGATCGAGCTTAATAGAAGGTAGTGAATTAGCTAAGGGCCAGAGACCATGTGCATTTTATCTTTCAATATATTATAATAGCAAGTGGTTTTAGAGCAACACGTTTATTAATAATTTGCTTATCCCCCAAAATAATTTTTGTAAAACTGTTCCTTTTGGACACTTTAAAGCAGGCATTCTCAAACTACGGCCCGCGTGCCACGTGTGTGTTTTTGCCTATTTGGTTTTTTTTACTTCAAAGTAAGATATGTGTACTGTGCATAGGAATTTGTTCATAGTTTTTTTAAACAATAGTCCGCCCCTCCAGCGGTCTGTCTGAGGGACAGTGAACTTGGCCCCCTGTTTAAAAAGTTTGAGGACCCCTGCTTTAAAGGTTGACTTATATAACATTTTTTTTTTTTTTTTTTTGAGACAGAGTCTCACTTTGTTGTCCAGGCTAGAGTGAGTTTTTTTTTTTTTTTTTTTTGAGACAGAGTCTCACTTTGTTGTCCAGGCTAGAGTGAGTGCCGTGGCGTCAGCCTAGCTCACAGCAACCTCAAACTCCTGGGCTCAAGCGATCCTCCTGCCTCAGCCTCCCGAGTAGCTGGGACTACAGGCATGCGCCACCATGCCCGGCTAATTTTTTTTTTTTATATATATATCAGTTGGCCAATTAATTTCTTTCTATTTATAGTAGAGACGGGGTCTCGCTCTTGCTCAGGCTGGTTTTGAACTCCTGACCTTGAGCAATCCGCCCGCCTCGGCCTCCCAAGAGCTAGGATTACAGGCGTGAGCCACAGCGCCCGGCCTTATATAACATTTTACATCATACTTTTAGGTAGTTGAAAAGGATGCATTTTCCCACCTGGTATTGATATTGACATTTTAATATAAAACAGGTATTCTTTTAATTTTATCCAAAGGAGCATATGTTTGCTGTTTTATGTCCTTTACCTTCAATTTTTTAAAAACATTGTATTTTATACAGTTCCTTTTTCTGGAAATTTTACTTTGATTTTTATCACCCAAACACCATTAAATGTTGTCTTAATGCAGTTTATTTTAATGCTTGAAAAGCTTTTTATTAATCTGTCATACATCTCTTTAATAAAAATATGTATATAAATTGAAACTAAGTTTTAAAAATTTCCTATGATTGTAATTCTAGGAGTTATAATTTCTTTTTATTGAGTTACTGCATGTAGTAATAGTTGATCAGAACATCATAAATACCTGGTGGATTTTGATAAATAATAAGTATGAAGAGTAGTTCAGTGGAGATATATATCTTAATGAGATGGATAGTGGGAGTTGTGCCTAAATTGAAAGAGGTTCTTTGACACCTTTGACTTACTGTTTGGCGGTAGGGAGGCTTTTCCATCCTGGGGAAATGTACCATACAAGAATAGGAATGGGTGAAAGGTATGCCTTTATTTTGTAAAGTGGGAAGATTATGAAAGGAGCCTGGGAGAGAAAAACCAGCATAACTGGACTGCAGACATGTGCCCATGCAGATCAGTTTTAGTAAGGAATACTAATGGAAGTAGAGGATCTGGAAGCTTTTATCTTGAAATTACACATGTTGTTGGTACATGTCTCACGGGAGATTTCATGTGTTCCAGGGATCCACATCCTGAAGTTCGAAGACCATTTAGAGCAGTGATTCTCAGCAGAGGACAATATTACTGCCCAAGGTACTTTTGTCAATGTCTGTAGACATTTTTGGGGTTAGGGGTTGGGGGTGCTGCTACTGCATCTAGTGGACAGAGATCAGAGATGCCGCTAAAATAACATAATTATTCAGCCCAAAATGTCAACCATGCCAAGGTTGAGAAACCCTGATTTTTGGATTTGTTTTGAAATCAGACTATTTAATTCTGTGATCCAGGACAGAGTTCAGTAAACTTTTTTTTCAGATAGTAAGTGTGTTAGGCTTTGTGGGCCATACACACGATCTCTGTTGCACATTTCTTCTTTATTTTTATAATCCTTTAAAAATGTAAAAATCCTAGCTCCAGGATCTTTCAAGAAACAGATGATCTAAGGCAGTTAATGCCTTCAAACCTCAATTTTCTTCTCTCTAAAGTACTAATAGCAATAATGCCTCAAGAATTGTTTGTAAGGATATAATGACATAAATACCCAGCATGGTGTGTCCAGCATAAGTTAAGCACTTTAAATGGTGCCAGGTGATAGTGGTGTCCTATAGCATGTAGTACAGAAGTGGGTGCCAAGTCACAGTGTTGTTCAAGTGAACGGGATAAACTTGATGCTGGTTAAGTTCCCCATCAGCTCATAAAAGCCTGTTTAACCTCTACTGTCTTTTTACTGTCTAACTTTGAGCCTTCTTCTACCCTAAGGAAGGTGGAGTGCAGAATGTCTATCCCATGGTGTCTGAGGGAAAGGGGATTGGGATCTCTGGAAAGGCGAGGAATTCTAATGACACAATAACAGGATAGAATTCCAGGGAAAGGGATTGTCAATTTTGATAGGGTACTTGAGGTAGGGCAAATAAGGTGGGTCTGTATGTGATCAATTGTATATGGTATTTTTTAAATTGGAGACTGTATATGTTCTGTTGACTACCATGAAGTTGCTACCATGATAAGGCCTACTTTTTTATTTTTCAAGTTAGAAAGTATGGTTATATTATTACTTAATCTGAAGCTAGACCACAGTTGCTGTGATGCCTTTATAGTTTAGACTGCTGCTAAAACAGTCTTGTGTCACTTAAATTACTCTGTCATAAGTTTTAATGAGATGACAAGAAGAGATTCTCTAAAACTGCAGTGTCTAATAATGGTAGCCACTAGGCACACATAGCTATTGAGCACTTGCAATAGGGCTAGTTGGAATTGAAAAATCCTGTGTAAAACACACTGTGGGTTTCAGAAACTTAATACAAAAAAAGGTAAAATACTTCACTAATAATATTTATATTGATTACATGTTGAAATAATATCTTTGATGTATTTGGATGAATAAAATACTATCATTGAAATTAATTTTACCTGGTTTTTACCTTTCTAATATGGTTATTAGAAAATTTGAAATTATACATGTGGCATGCATTATAATTCTATTGAACATGGCTGCTCTAAAGCTCCCATTTATTTTGTTAAAGTTAGTAATTACATTTTTTATCATGCACATAGATTTAAGAGTTAAATATTTTTACAATACTTGCAGTGAAAATCAGAGGTCCCACCACTCCAACCTCACCCTTCCTCCCAAAGTCAGCTTGGATCAATTTTCTTACCCAATTCTTTTGGTCTTTCTCTCTATATCTCTAAATAGTACGCTTATATTGCTACTTTGTATTTTTCAGTTTTAGGCATTGTCCATTAATTTCTTAGTAGGAAAGATGAACTTTTAAACTCTTTAGTCCTATACCACATGCACATAAACTTTTTATTCATCTTTCTATCTTCTCAATATGGCTATATAAAAATTTTGCTTATACCAAAATTCAATATATATATTATTGTAATGCTAATCAAAACCGAAAGATGCAGTGCATTATGATTAGTTTTTGTTTCTAGGCTCAGCATCTTGTTTTCCCTGGAGTTAATAATTGTCTTGATTTTATTTCCTTAGTTTTCCATACATTTATCACTAATTAAATCCTGAATTCTCCAGCTGTGTAGATCTTTTCTCAAAATTTAAAAACATTAGGTATTCTATCAATTTTACTTTTTTAAAGAGATCTTTTCTGGAGTTCTGCCTCCTGTTCCAGTCTGGAGTGGTTTCATAATTGTTATCTTGGGAAGTCATTATCAGCCTTGGGATTCCTTTCACTAAATATGGGATCTAGCAGGTGGAGAGTTTAATACCCTAGCAGTCACTTGGCTGAGTTTAGAAGTTATTTTACTTAGAATTATTAATTTGAATATTATGTTCTTCTCATTTCTACTGTGGCCTTTATGAAGTTCCTTGGCACTTAAATTTCTCATTTTTTGTATAAGCACTTTTAAGATGGTCCCTTTTAGGCTAGTGTTCTGAAATTTCATGGTGTGTTCCTTGGTGACTTTTTTCATCTTTCATCCATTGGTCTTTTTAAATCTGGATATTCATGTTTTATAGTTCTAGGAAATCTAGTGAATTATTTCTTCAGTTCTTCTCTTATTTTTTCTCTATTCTCTATTTCTAGAAGTTTTATTATTTCTAGAAGTTTTATTATGGTATACCTTATAGATTGGGTCCTCCTTATTTATTCTTTACTATTTGTCATCTTTGTCTTTTTGCTCTGCTTTCTGGGCATTTTTGTAATCTCCCAACTTTATCATCCTTCTCAAATTTTTTTCTTTCCAGCTTTTTAAATTTAATTTGTAAAAGCTCTGTTCTTTGTCTTTTTTTGAGTGTGTGTCATCTTATTTTTATTTTATAGATGCAGTATTTTCTTTTTCTTTATGTTGATATAAATGTAGGGTTTTTCTAAAAGTTTTATTTTTCCTGTGTATTGTGCATTTCAACCAAATTACATTGCTTTTATTTTTATCTTTCATACTAGATGTTTTCCTCAGGTTTTGTGATCCTTGGCTGTTTGCATGTGTGTGTGTGTGCATGTGTATGTGAGAGAGTGAAAGAGGGACAGAGAATTAGGAATTAGGCATTAGAAAGCTGATTTAAGACTGTGGGGTAGAACCTATCAACTGTGGCTTCTCAAGGGTGAATTGCTTGGACAGTTTTCCTTAGGAAACTCTTGAGTCTTTTGTCTTGGCCATGATCAGATTATCCAGATACTTCAGTCTCCTTTCTGGAGAGGTACCTGGCTGTCAGTACTCTTAAGAACCAGGTTGTGGGGAAGAAGGCTGAAGGTCTTAATATTCGGCATGTAATATTTTATTTAATCCCCTGCTTTTGTTATTTACCCTTAATCATACCCGATAGTTCCCTATCCAGAGAGAATTGATTTTACATTCTTCTAGATTAAAGCACCCAGTCTTCTTTTGGGCCGTAGAGAAATAGTGTCCTGGGTACTTGGTGTAGGAGAGATCTGAGGATGCTAATTTGTAAATAGGTTTTCAACTAGTCCTCTTTTTTCCAGCTCCACCTCTACTCCCTTTCTAGAGGAAAATTGAATTCCATGCATTGCCATACCTTTGAAGGTTTTGTGATGTGATATAAATGGGGATGCTTCCCTGATTTCCCCATTGACAGTTAAAGGCTTTTGTTTTCTCAAGTCTGTTTTAGGAATCTTGTCTGCCTCTTTTTTTTTTTTTGGTACCAAAGCACTGTTGACTCTTCATCCTCCTTTGTCCTTGTGAATTATGGGTTTATTATTTATCTTTTGAGCAATAACATAAAGCACATATAGTACCCTGATCTTAAATTTACAGCTTAATGATTTGTGTATGTACTCACAAATACAGAGTGGTCCTCCCTTATCTTTGGGGAATACGTAATACGTTCAAGACCCTAGTGGATGCCTGAAACCTAGAATAGTACAGAACCATATTGCTGTCAATCAGAACACGTTTCTGTTCATATTTTCTGCCAACAAATTTAATGCCTTTTCCATCTTAACTAAGCACTTACCATGCACTGTGGCTGTAAGTTTTGCAGTTTGAAGGGCAATAGCAAAACGAGCACCAATTCTTTTTCTTTCCTCACAATTTCACAAATAGAAAATTCATTCTTATCATAGATCTTAGCAACCTCAGCATATGATTTTTTTGTTATTAAGTCGAGAATTTATGTTTCACTTAAGACATTAACTGCCACATGAGTTGTATTTAACTCACACTAGTTTTGAGCCCAAGGCCTCGTGAATCATATGTAACTCACATGTCTTTTCACCTTGGGAACCACGAGAACTATTTTTCATGTTGCATATGACTCATGCACAGAAAACAAAAAGTAACAAATTTTTCATTAAATTAGAAAGGATTGTTTTGTTTTAGAAGTTTTTATTCTATTTTTGTAATAAAACACTGTGGCCCCAAGGAAAAAAAACTTTTTCTTGTGTGGCAGTCAGTATGTTAAAGGAAGGACTTAACTGCTTCTCTTTGGCATATCTCAATTGCCAGCATCACTGCTCTTGCACTTTGAGGCCATTATTAAGGAAAAAAAGGGTTACTTGAACCTTAGCACTGAGATAACTGCAACAGCAGATCTAATAACCAACTAAGTGACTGATGGACATAGCTGGAGACCTAGGACAAAGAATTGGTTCACACCCCAGGTAGGATGCAGCAGAATGACACAAGATTTCATCACATTATTCAGAATGGCATACCATTTAAAACTTATGAATTGTTTGTTTCTAGAATTTTCCATTTAATATTTTTGGATCACAGCTGACTATGGGTAATTAAAACCAGAGAAAGTGAAACTGCAGATAAGGGAGGACTACTGTACATCCATGTGATAATCACCCAGATGAAGAGAGAACATTTCCAAAGGCCATATGCTTTGCTCCTGTCCCTTTCAAATCTATACCCTCAACCTATAAGCAGTACTTTAATTTCTGTTATAATAGACTAACTTTGCCTGTTTTTTAGTTCATTTATATAGAATCACATATTCTCCATATGAAGTCTTTTGTAATCTGGCTTTTGCTCAAACGATGGGATTCATTGATGTTGTAGGCATCAGGATTTAAAAACAATTGTGTATTATTGCAATGTGTGAATATATTAATGTTTATCCATTCTCTTATGAGTAGGCATTTGGGTTGTTTTGAGTTTTTGGCTTTTGTGACTAAGCTGCTGTGAATATTGCTATACATGTTTTTGGTATGTGTATGCATCTATTTCTGTTGGTTACATACATCAGAATTGCTGAGTCATCAAGTGGGTGACTGTTTACTAGAAACTGTCAGTTTTTTAAAAGGGCTGTACCCTTTTTCAGCTTTCACCAGCAAAGTATGAGAGTTCTAGTTTTTGTCTTCTCTTACACTGATCAGTCTTTTGAATTTTAGCCATCTGATAACTGTACAGTTGCTATCACTATAGATTTTTGTTTCATTTTTCTGAGGGAATAGTGTGTTGAACATCTTTTCACATGCCATTTAAATATTCTCTTGTGAAGTGTCTATTCATGTCTTTTACTCATTAAGAATAAATGGTTATGCCTTTTTAATAATCTTTCTAAAGTCGTTTTAATGGGGTTTGAGGAGGCAACAGGGCTAATTGCCTATGGGTAACCTCCTACCTTTAAATGGAAGTCAGGTAATGTTACAGTTTCATCCACTTTTTTTTTTCTCATTTCTGTTCTCTCTGGTGTGTGAATCAACTCATTTTTATTAGCTGGATATAATCGGGATTTATATTTAATGAAATTTAGAAGGAGACTCTTGTTTCGACCATAAGGATTGATATAGGAAATTATTACAAGAAACTGGAACAAGAAAATTAGCTGTATTCTGATAGCTGTATTCTGATTTAGTCTCTTATGTAATTAACAAGATGTTTAGGACCAAAAGTTTTCTTTTATTTATTCATTTATCAAATACATAGTAGTACTTTGTGACAGACCTAATAGGCTTAGGGAATTGTACCATAGTAAACAAAACAGAAACAAGTAAGGCTTATGTTTTCTTGAAATATATTCAGGTAGGAAAGATGAATAATAAATAAGTAAAATAAACACCTAAACAGATTAATTAAAGATAATATTTCTTGTTTTGCAGAAATGGAGCAAGAGCCACAAAATGGAGAACCTGCTGAAATTAAGCTTATCAGGGAAGCATACAAGAAGGCCTTTTTATTTGTTAATAAAGGACTGAATACAGATGAATTAGGTCAGAAGGAAGAAGCAAAGAACTACTATAAGCAAGGAATAGGACACCTGCTCAGAGGAATCAGCATTTCATCAACAGACCCTGAACAAACAGGCCCTGGGTGGGAATCTGCCAGACAGATGCAACAGAAGATGAAAGAAACACTACAGAATGTACGCACGAGATTGGAAATTCTAGAGAAAGGTCTTGCCACTTCTCTACAGAATGATCTTCAGGAGGTGCCCAAGTTATATCCAGAATTTCCACCAAAAGACACGTGTGAAAAGTCACCAGAACCTCAGTCCTTTAGTTCACCACCTCAGCACGCTGAATTAAATGGAAACACTCCAACTACAAGTGCAGAGGCAGTTGCATCTACTTCTCTGTCTTTACCATCTCAGAGTTGTCCAGCAGAAGCACCTCCTGCTTATACTCCTCAGGCTGCTGAGGGTCACTACACTGTATCCTATGGAACAGATTCTGGGGAGTTTTCATCAGTTGGAGAAGACTTTTATAGGAATCATTCTCAGCCACCTCCTCTTGAGACTTTAGGGTTAGATGCAGACGAGTTGATTTTAATACCAAATGGAGTACAGATTTTTTTTGTAAATCCTGCAGGGGAGGTTAGTGCACCTTCGTATCCTGGGTACCTTCGAATCGTGAGATTCTTGGATAATTCTCTTGATACAGTTCTAAACCGTCCTCCTGGGTTTCTTCAGGTAAGCCAAAGGAAGATGTAAACATAATTTAAAATATGTGTAGAATACATCATTTTTATTTGTTACTATTTATAATGTGTCCAGTATAGTAAGTGCAAAAAGATGACTATGTCCTTTTTAGGTATATTCCGTGGAATCCATGAGCCTTGAACATCTATATTTGTGTTTAATAGTCTTTTTTTTTGAGATACAAAGTCGTATTTTGGTATTAAGTTTGTGATGAAAGAACCTGAGGGAGATCAGAGTGATCATCCTTAAATTTTTAATTCTTTATCTGAAGAAGAAGCCTAATAGCTTTAATTTTTTAAAGGTTTTGTGTAATTCATGTGGATATATAACTGTAAATATCCACAAATGTTGTGACAACCCAGCTGAGAGTCTAAACTGAGCTAGACCCATTCCCACCATCCAGAACAGTAGTTCTCAACCAGGTGCAATTTTGTACCACCACCCTCCCCTACCCCTTAGAACACTTGACAATGTCTGAAGTCATTTTTGGTTATCACAGCTGGGGGTTGGTTGTTCCTGGCATACTGCGTAGAGGCCAGGGATGCTGCCAAGGACAGCCCTCATCAATGAAAAATTTATCCAGCCCAAAATCTCAACTCTGCCAGGGTTGAAGTCTAGAAGTCTCTCTAGAAGTAGACATGATGATAATTTAAGATGTAATTTCAACATTTCAAGCAGAAAAATTTATCAGAATGCACTTGATCTAAGAGTAAAAACTGGTGCTAACAAAATGCTGGCATCAGGCCATTCCTGTGGATTTAGTGAGATATTCTAAAGGTGGTGGTCTAATGACAAATCTCGTTTTAAAAAGCTGGTTGTAAGTATGGGGAGATGAGTTCTTGAAAGGAGGACTCATTAGACATTGAGACTCATTGGACAAAGGAATTTGCTTTGAAGAGAGACCACTGTTCAAGCAAAGTAGATGCTTTTGTCCAAAGTCCAGATAATGTAGTTTAGTTACAGCACTGGCTATCTATGTTCATTTTCTCTTAATGTATACTCTACCATCAGTTGTTATGCAGCTTTTACATGAAGTCAGCTTGAAAGTTGTTGAAAGACAGAGACTTACCAGGGATGTGTGAAGGAGTTACTTTGAAGGGATTGTTGAAAGGAAAGATTTGCTATTGGACAGGAAGACTATTGTGAATTCTGTAGGTTATTTTAGGGAAGAAGCCTTAAGGTTAAAAAGGGTAGGCTTGGGGGAGGGGCTGATAAAAGCTATAACAGCATCTGCTGATCTGTTACAGTGTTGCATTCTAAAGGTGGAATTCAAAAATCTTTGGGTCCTCAGCAACTGGAGATGTGAGCAATGAATGTCAGAAACACTGTACCTGGTGACTTGTACTCAGCCATTAAAATGATTTGTACTGTAGTAGAAATTTGTCGTTAGGGCTTTTAATTTTGTTTTTAATCTATCTCATTCCTTCTGTTTTGGTCCTAAATGAAAAGTAAAATTACACCCAAAATTTAACTGGAGTCTCTTTAATAGGTTTTCATGTCCATGTTTTCAGGTATTTGTAGCAAAGTGACCTCAAAAAGAATTATCATAGGCACTTACTGAGTTTTTATCATAAAAAAAGGCAATAACCAACTAAATATTAGAAATTATATATAATTTTCTATGCTGCAGAAATCACTGTTAGTCTATTTAGGAAATTAAAGTAAGATTATTTGGTTTTAGATAGGCAGATTTGGAATTCTAGGCCTTCAGAACACTATTTTTCTTTTGGTTTTAGTTTCAATATACTTTTTAAACGCCTTAAAATCTATAGTCAGTTTATATAGAACTTGGACATTCAATTACCCTGTGAAAGTGAAACTGGAAGAAATAAGCCTATCGTGGATGAGCTCACTAATCTGTAAGAACCTGTGATAAGAAAGGTCTATAAATATTTGTGGGTTTTTTGAGAAGATTTGGGAATGTTCAATTAAGGTTATCAGAATATACTTAATCTTAAATCACGGGGAAAAAAAAACTTTTTAAAAAAAGTTTAAAAAAAAAAACTTTCCTAAGCTTTAATCATTTAAAATAACCTTTACAATTTTTTTGTCAAATCTATACCCCCTACTGTTACTTTCATCATATTTTTATTAAATTCTCACTTGTTAATTATATCCAGTGACAGCTGTGAAATTAAAAGAAAATGTATTTTTACCCTAATATATTAAAATACATAACTACTCAAATTTGAAAAGTTGTGGATTATCAGACATCATTTCACATACCACAAATGGTTTATGTATTTATTATACTTTGGAAAACACAGTAATCAGTTTTATTGTAACCTGTCCGAAGTTAGACTTTTATATAAGGTAGAGTGGTTGAGACAAATGGAACAGAGAATCCTTAAAGGAAAAAGAATTTGATAATGTTTACTAAGTGCTTTCCAAGAAGAAGTCAGACTTTCGTATTTCAATCCTTTAACATTTATATTCTGCTAGTCAAAGATGATGGTAGTATTAAATATATGAGAATTTTCTGTGGTTTATAGGAAATATCTCATGCTCTTTGACTCTTATTTACCATGCAATGTTATGTTAATAGATTGGCCTCCCATGGTTCTCGGTAAGACAATGCTCTGGGTGATGGACATAGTTATATTTTGGTTACTCAGAGAATGTGTATCACATTAGAAATTAATACATTTGAAAATTCTCATTTAAATTTAGTGTTTTCTGAATTTAGATAGCCAGAATGTGAGTTTAAATCTGCGTGTACTGACAAACTGACCTCAGATGACATTGCAAAAGAACTTTGCAAAAAAAAAAAAAAAGAACTTTGCGTCATTTTGCTTTGACTTCACAATAGACAGTCAATCCATAAACATAACTTAATCTGTTGTAGTAGCTGTGTCATGTCAGATTCTCTTGGGTTTAGTGAAAAAAAATTATTCCACATCATTAGTGTTGAATTTCTAATTAAAATAATTGTTTGGCTTTTCTGGTACAGTCTACATGTGCTCATATCCTAGCCCCACTTTTTAGTTGTTGACCCTAAGCAACTTAATTGACACCTCTGTGCATCAGTTTTCTTGTACACAAAATGACAATAATACTAACCAATTCTAGGATTGTTGTGAGGATTAAATTAGTAAATACATGTATAGTACTTGGAAACAGTTTGAGTTTGTTTATTACTGCAAAGGGAATATCTAAATTGAAAAATAAAGAAAACCTTAATTTACTTTGATCATTATTTATTTAAAGCTAGGATCATGTAGGTAAACACTGGGGTATTTAAGGCCATAAACTTTAAGATTGTATACTGTGGCCCCAGACCAGTCATCTGCGTTTACTTCTGCTCCTCATCACTAGCATCAAGGCCTGAGCTTGACTCCCTCCCCCACCCCACCACATGAAACTGGTCCCTGGTGTCAAAAAGGGAAGATCAAACAGGCAAATGATTAATTTTCATTGGGAATTTGTTGATGGTTCTATAAAGCCATGTAAAATACATTTCAAACTTCAGAGTGTTTATTTTCTGGTATAACCATTTTATTAAAATGTAGATGAAAGTGTAGCTCCATTCATTGATACATATATTTTTTTTCTTCTGTCTAATCCTTTCAGGTTTGTGACTGGTTATATCCTCTAGTTCCTGATAGATCTCCAGTTCTGAAATGTACTGTGGGAGCCTACATGTTTCCTGATACAATGTTACAGGCAGCAGGATGCTTTGTGGGAGTCGTCTTGTCCTCTGAGTTACCAGAAGATGATAGAGAACTCTTTGAGGATCTGTTAAGACAAATGTCTGACCTTCGTCTCCAGGTAATGTGTATGATCATCTTTAGGATGAAAATCTCCTTTAACATAAGCACTTCTGCTTTTAAAGAAATTCCAATAACCTCTAAGTGATCAAAGTTAGAAGACTGTAAGTATATAATTTGTATGTTCACAGCTACATCTTGAGAATTTGCTGTAAATTCTGGTTAAGATTATGGACTGTGGAGTCAAATGGCCTGGATTTGAATTTGAACTCTTCCACATAATAGTGCTTAAGTCACTCTATACATTAGTTATTGAGCTCCTCTATACATTAGTTTCGTTATCATAAAATGGGGATGATGATAATAATGTCCATTTCATTAGGCTACAGTGAAGATTAAACGTTAATACATTAAAGCACTTATATCAATACTAGCAAATGGTTAATGCTTTGTAAATGTTAGCTATTGTTTTCACTGTTTTACTGCTCAGGTGGAAAGTGGACTATTGGGACTAAATGGTGAAGTGAAGATAATTTTAGCTTTAGTTCCAGTTTTGTGTTGAAGATTCTAATCTTCCTCAAGATTGGCATTTTGAGGAAAAAACTGATTCTGAAAGAGTCATCTTTGTTCTCTTGGTATATGAAGGCCAAATAGAAAATAAAATGTGATTTAAAACGTGATCATCCTGTGAACTTATTTAGTTTGTTTCCTCTGCCTACACACTTACCTGTTGAAGTAGAGTATTTCTGTTTAATAAGGAGTTGAAATAGAATATTATGGAGAGGCTTAAAAAGGTGTCCAGTGTTCTTGCCCATCCTAATATATGGCAAGAGGGGAAAAATATTTTTGATTAAGGATGTTGACAGTTACCTGGGGTCGAATGAGGCTGACAGTATGATAGCATAGTCTTTTATTTTCTTCAGCCAGCAGATTTTTAGAATCCATTATTTACCCGTGTACTGTGTTAAATGATAGGATGGGAAGAGCATGAGAACAGGAGACTAGATAGATAGATAGATAGATAGATAGATAGATAGATAGATAGATAGATAGATAGATAGATAGATAGATAGATATAGATAGATAGATAGATAGATAGATAGATAGATAGATAGATAGATAGATAGATAGATAGATAGATAGATTAAAAAAAAAAAAAAAGCCCCGGTTCCCAAGCCCTGAGAATGACCTGGTGATCAACACACAATTTAGCATACTCAGCAATTATTTAAGCTATATTAACAAATCCCATGCTTGCCATACAGAAGTGTGTAGCGTCAATATGCTCATGGGAAAAAGTTTACAAAAGCAGGAACCTGATCAAATGGATCTAGGTTCTGCTTGGCTTTGCTGTTTACTATCTGAAATGACACTCCTAAGTATTCACAAACCTATTAATAATATGGAGCTATTTCTCCCTTACCTCCTACATTCAGTGGACATACATAACTGGGCTTTAGAAAAGAAACTAAATGGACTTTTAGGTTATATGCTTATTTTCTCTGTTCAGTTTTATTTTTTGGTTGTATGGCTTTACAGTCCCAGAACTTCAACCGTAAACAAAAGCTCGTTACTAGTCACAATTTTAATTGCCTTTACTCTTAAGCATTCATTCAGCAAAGTGTATACTAGCAAAATACCTTTAGTATTAAGTGCAGAAAACAAACAAAAAAATCAGGCTTCCAACAATGCTTAGTAAAGTGGACATGAGTTTTGTTAATTTGCCTTTAAACTCATTTTGTCTTGTATATATTTCCTAAAATTTATTCATTATTAAATTTAAATGTAGCTGCATCTGATTTAAAGATAACTTATACCAACAACTGCTGTCTTTTGAAATTTACTGTAGACCATGTGTTATAAACCAAAGAACTTAGAGGTTTGAGGTTTGGTGATGAGATAAAATAAAAGTATAGAGAACAGCAAAAGTAATTTTTATTTATAGACTGTCAAACACAGACATTTAAACAAGTTTATCATTAGAACATGGTATAATGTACCTGGAGGAAAGTCATATAAAACAAATTCTGATTTGAGTTAAGTGTAGTCCTTTACTCCTTAGGCCAACTGGCACAGAGCAGAAGAAGAAAATGAATTCCAAATCCCTGGAAGAACTAGACACCCCTCTGACCAATTGAGGGAAGCCTCTGGCACTGATGTGACACAGTTGGGTCCTTCTTTGGACCAAGGCAATAAGGATGTTCGTCATAAAGGAAAACGTGGAAAAAAGGTAATAAGTAATAAAATAAGGTGTGTTCTCTTCTAATGGTACTTTTCACCAGTTTCATGTATGTATATGATTGTACAGAGTGACAGAGTGAACACTGGTAAAAACAACTAGAATCAGCTTTAATAGTTCCCTTTTAAGTGTTTGTTTCTTAAACTATTTTAAAAGATATTCTGTATTTGGGGAATATATTTTTTCCCAAGCATTTGAAAGATTTTGATGTTTACCTAAATGATGCATATCATTTCTTGCTTGCTTTGTGGTGGTCTCCACCTTCCTATATGCACCGAGAGCTTGGAGCTAAATATACTCCTGTCTTTTTCTTACACTGCCATTTTTATTCAGTTCCTTGATTTTTCATGGTTGGGCAACAGGACAGAGACGTAGTTTTTTAAAAATAGATTTAGTGGTTTCTTTCATTTCTTAAGCTCTGAGTATGTAATATACTGTAAATGGTAAATTTGGATTATAGTTCAGTATATATTTTATTGAGTACTAGAATATTGTGCATACATAGTAGAAAAAGTTTAAATTTCTTGTCTCAAGGCATTTATTGTCTAGTGGAAAGGATATATTAGCAAAGAGATAATTTCTATCTAATGTGGTGGATAATTAGAAGATACAGCCTAGCCTAATATAATAGGTAAGTGTGGGTGGATAGGTGGTGTGGGAAGCAGTAAAAAGCCTCCTCCTAGAGGACATTATGACTAAGATGAGTCTTGAAGGATAAAGAGTTGGTCATGTGAATAACAAATTGAAGGAGATTTTAGGCAATAGTAATATAAGCAGGTGTATGAAGAAAACAGCATTGTGTGAGTATTATATTACAGGCACTTCAAGTTCAGTATTGTTCATTGCTGTATTCCACATGTTAAATGCTCAATAATTGTCTTTGGAATAGTATCACATGAATATTCTATATTTACTTGGAAAGTGCCACTGTGGTTTATGTTGAACATCTTAGACCAGCTTTATGAGGACACTGGGATTCCAAAATGGTTCTAATAAATATATTTTATTTTAAAAGATTTTTAAAAAGTTAATTATAAAAAATGAAATTCAAAGGGTACAAAAGAAATATGGTGAAAAGTAAGTCTGCCTTCCCTTCTTGTCCACCAGCCATCTAGCTCCCCTCTTCAGACACATTGTTATTAGCTTCTTATTGTCCTTTCAGGTACATTTTATGCATAGTCAAATATACATACATATATATGATTTTTAACATAAATGGTGGCATATAAAACATACTGTTTTGCTCCTTGGCTTTTTATTAATATATCTGAAAATTCTATATCATTTAGAATTTTGACTTCTAGAATCAAGAAATTTTATTTCTTGGTTTAAAAAATGAAATTATATTAAAAGGTATATACAGTGAAAAGCTTTATTCCTACCTTTGTCCCTTTCCACACCATTCCCTCTGCCACTGTAGTTAATTACTTTTATTAGGACATTGTGTAACTTTCCTGGGTTTCTTGAGGCAGACAAAAGCAAATATAAATTGCTTTCCTTATACAAAAGATAATGTACAATATAGAGTGTCTTGTATTTTTTTTTTCATTTGATAATAAATTTTGGGGATCTTTACATGTGAATAAATAGAGAACTTCCTCAGACTTTTTTGCAGCTACCCTGGTATTTCATTCTGTGACTATGTCATAGTTTCTTTAACCATTTTCTTATTGAGAGGTACTTGGCATGATTGAAATTGTTTGCTATTACAAATAATGCATCAATGAATAACTTTGTAGATCCATTGATTTATACATGTGAAGATAATCAGATAAGTTCTCAAAAGTAGGATTACTAAATAAAAGATCAGTGCATTTGTAATATTTATAGATTTTCTTAAATTGCCCTCCTAAGGATTACACTATTTAGTACTCCCACCAGCAGTGTATAAGAGTACCTATTTCCCCATATCTTGGTCAACAAAGTGGGTGATCAGTTTTTTGGGATTTTGGCAGTCTAATAGATGAGAAATGGTATATGAGAATATAGAATCTTAGTTGCATTGGTTTTATTTTGAGTAATGTTGAGTAGCTAGGCTTAATGGTCTCTTGAATTTTGTTTCCTATATATTGTCTATTCATGCCCTTTGTCCATTTTTTTTTAACTTGTCACTGAGTTAAATGTCACTTTGTCCATTTTTATTATTGAGCTGTGAGTCTTTTTCATCTCAGTTTCTAGGAGCTCTTTATATATTAGGGGCGTTGGCCCATGGTCATAGATGAACATTGCAAAAAATGTGTCCAGTTTGTCTTTAGATTTCACTTATTGGTTGGTGGCTTTTCTCCCCATGTAGACATTTTTGTTTTATTTAATGTTGCTTTTATATTTTAAGTGGTTCTTTGTGTTTCTGTTGGGCACTTTGGTTTTGAAGTAATTTTTAATACTATGAGATCTGAGCCTGCTCCTGAGTTCTTAGAATGAATTCATTTAGCTTTGAGTGTTTGTGTGTTGGCCCTAGCTCTCTCATAGCAACTGTTAAATTAGCAAAGTACAGGTATTTCCATGTTCTCTATTTCCATGGAATGGCAGATTGTTCTGTGTTTGTATTTTCATGTTTCAAATTAGATGTTTACTTAATCTCTGTCAAAACCAGTTTCTTTGGATACAGCTTTCCTTACTGATTGAATCATTTAACAGAAATCTTTTTTAACCTTACTGGGTAAAGTGCATATACTAATTCTAGGTATGATATATGTATGAAAAGAACTCATAGTCTAGTCAAGTAAAGAAAAAAGTTTGTCAATTTAAATATGATTTGATAAATGCTACATTGGACTTATGTTGATGTTTAAATTTTACCAGTGAGGGTTTATATAGGCCAGAACAATATTCAGCTTTATAGAAGTTCTGGTATTGTATTTTATAAGATATATTTATAACTAGGTTGGCTAGAGATATTTTTCATTAATTATATCTAATATTTGACTTAGTATTGGCTTAGTATTTTATTATATAAAGCTTCTATTTAACCCTTTCTTAGTACTTAACTAACTCTTTGATATTTTCAAACATTTTTACCATTTAGGTTAAAGATACTTCAAGTGAAGAACTTAATCTGAGTCACATCGTACCCTGTGAGCCAGTTTCAGAAGAAAAAGCAAAAGAATTACCTGAATGGAGTGAGAAAGTGGCTCAAAACATTTTGTCAGGTATTATAGTAATGTTAAATTTTCCCACTATAATGGAAGCCTTGGAACCCAATAAAGGTACTGCTGATAAAGGGATACCTTGAAAGATAATACTTTGTATTTTTGTTTTAAATAATCAATTTAGAAATACTCAAAAGTAGAAGGAACTAGTCTCTTAAAACATCACATACTGTCATATAATAGGTAATGCTTCCTGGCCTAGTCTCTGTTTTACTTTCGAGAAAGTGAGTAGTAAAAAGCTTCAGGAATCCCTAACCTGTCAGAATGGCTCTGAACATAAAATTACTTTCCTTTCCCCCTTTGAAATCCCTTATAAAAGAGGCCCCAGGGAGCTGCCTTGCCCCTTCCATCATGTGAGGAGGCAGTAAGCAGGAGCCGTTCTGTGAACCAGGAAGTGGGTCCTTTCCAGACACCAGATATGCTAGCACCTTGATCTTGGACTTCCAGCTTCCAAAACTGTGAGAAATAAATTTTTGTTGTTTGTAAGACAGCAATTTATGGTATTTTGTTATAGCAGCATCAATAGACGAAGACACCCATCAAAAAAAAAAAAAAAGAGAGAGATGTTTATCCAATTTTGGAAGCAAGTCAGCACTCCCTAACCACACAGCAATGTAGGCATGAGAAGATCTAAGGGTTATAGCCAAGCTTTTGGGGAAGTAAGCCCTGCTATTTAGGTATAGTTAGAAAGGGCTTCAGGCTGGGTGTGGTGGCTCACGCCTATAATCCTAGCACTCTGGGAGGCCAAGGCGGGAGGATCGCTCAAGGTCAGGAGTTTGAAACCAGCCTGAGCAAGACCCCGTCTCTACTAAAAATAGAAAGAAATTAATTGGACAACTAAAAATATATATATAGAAAAAATTAGCCGGGTGTGGTGGCACATGCCTGTAGTCCCAACTACTCGGGAGGCTGAGACAGAAGGATGTGGGAGTCCAGGAGTTTGAGGTTGCTGTGAGCTAGGCTGATGCCATGGCACTCTAGCCCAGGCAACATAGTGAAACTCTGTCTCAAAAATAAATAAGAGAGAAAGGGCTTCAGATAAATTATTCTAAAACCAGAATGATCATTACTGATATATGTCTTTCTGCTTTAGTTGGTTAACATTTCACTTAGCTTCTCAACACCCGGATCTTTCTAATTTAATGTAGAGATAGACTCAGGGTCTCTGTGCAAACAGTTGATATGCAGTGAGAGGAAATGACCACTTTCTGGCCACCCATTCCAACATACCATCCTAAGGCTGAGTTAGCAAAAGGGAGCTAACTATGATGTACCCATAAAGTTTCTCCAAGATTATATGTTTTTCATTACCATTCTGTGCTGGTAGGCTCTGGTAAGGAATTTTCCATTTTGGTTAATTCAGTCTGTTAAAGAATAGCCACAAAGAAGCAGAGGTAAAGAATATCAAAAGCTGAATATAGAAAGACCAATGTTCTAAACTTCATATTTCTTATGATAAAATTATTAAAACTTACTAGAAAGGCCAGGATCTATATCATCTTAGATTTCAGCTGGCCTTTTACCTGGAAGGAAAGTTGTAATTTGGGGCTTCTATTTTTAATAACAAATATAAATGCTAAGTTTCTTTAGTTCAATAAAAGTGGACAGTGTCCCATAAACTACAGTGGTTAGGTTTGCGTTAGATAATTATAAGTTATCTGCCAGCCTCTTGTTTATTCAGCAAACATTCATTGACTGCCATTTTTCAGCATTAACTGAGTGCATAGCACACAAATGGGAACAGAATCAATCTATATCTGGCCTGCACATGCCATTTAAAAAATCTAAATGGTTATCAATGAAATACTACATTTTTATGTACAATTTCTACAGTTTTAATGTATTTACCTGTACTATGCACTTCTGTGGTGATATCTTATTGTCAATAATTTGCATCTAGTATTTCTCTTTATTAGTCCTATGACTTTGGATTTATCTCATTTCCATTTATTTTTCTTAGTCATTAATGGACTCCATCCATTTTGTTTCTTGTAGAGTTTCATTGTGGGATTATAGTCTCCTTTGTTTCATTATCGTTTATTTTATGATTTCTCAGATTTCCTTCTTCAAATTCAGCTTTTTTTTACTAAAAACTTTTCAACTATTAAGTTAATAAACTCTAAAAACATAATTTTTTTAAATGGACATCTTCAGGCCTTTTATTTTTATGGGAGCCTGTTTGCCTGAGTTTGAAACCTGATCATCCCCCAAAGTTGGTTATTGGTAAGACAGGGGGATAGGATTAGAGCTGGAGGTGGAGGTATTGCCTGAAATAAGAGAAGAAGCATAAAATTTTCTAACCAGTTATTACTTGGAACTTAACAGTTTTAAATAACCTTGTTTTTGGCATGATTGCTGGATGCTTACTTGTGGGCTGGAGTTATGTAAAACTATGGCACAGACCTTGAGAGAACATATTTAAGTATTACATGTCCAGCCTTAAAAGTTCCTTGTTTTCGGCCGGGCGCTGTGGCTCACGCCTGTAATCCTAGCTCTTGGGAGGCCGAGGCGGGCGGATTGCTCAAGGTCAGGAGTTCAAAACCAGCCTGAGCGAGACCCCGTCTCTACTATAAATAGAAAGAAATTAATTGGCCAACTGATATATATATATAAAAAATTAGCCGGGCATGGTGGCACATGCCTGTAGTCCCAGCTACCTGGGAGGCTGAGGCAGAAGGATCACTCGAGCCCAGGAGTTTGAGGTTGCTGTGAGCTAGGCTGACGCCACGGCACTCACTCTAGCCCGGGCAACAAAGCGAGACTCTGTCTCAAAAAAAAAAAAAAAAAAAAAGTTCCTTGTTTTAAGGTTAACCAAAAAGGAAATATTTTAGATTGTGAGCTCTCTACAGAGGATGATAACACTTTCCTTCCTATCTTTGGGACTCTGCTCTTGTGTATGTTTTCTTGCTTTTCCCATCTTTCCTCCTCCTCTTTTCTTCACATGCATACTGGCTAAGGATGTTTTTCTCCTCACTAGAAATGGCCCTGCCATTCTGCTTTTCCTCTGGCAACTGCTGCTGTCATTCATGCTACAAGAAGTATGAGCAGAGCAAAGGGCTAGGGCCTACTGTCATGAGAAATGGCTAAATCATCTACACCTCTCTTCTGTTTTAGATTTTTTTTTTGTCATGTGTTCTTTGATGGGTCTCATGATTTTGTCATTCATGTTTATGTAGCAAGCTAAAAGGTGCTGAGATTCAGGAGTTTGAGTTTAGAATCGAAGAAGGAAGAGGACCCCCTGACTAATACCTTAGCCTAAAGCAAGCAAGAGTTACTTCTGCCTTAGTGTTTGAGATATAAGTTCTTTGGTTTCCATTTTGTGTTGTTTCTGTTTTTCTCCCTCAAGATGTCATGAGGGAAAGTGATTCCTGGACTGAGGCTAAAAGAATAAGGATATCTGGGTCCTCTAGGCAAATACTATCTTAAAGGTACCAAAACTCAAAATTAATGCCTAACACTAATATAGTGTGATAAGTAACATAGAGATACCTATAAGTTACAGTGTCAGCATAGAGTAATGCAGAACTGTCACTGAGTGATATATGCCCTAAGTATTGAAAGATGAGTTTAGTTAGAAAAAGTATATATTCCAGGAAGGAACTATAGGTATGAAGTTATCATGAAAGTTGATGACATGGCATGTTTGGCTCTGAATATCAAACTCCTTTTATTTTTCTCTTGATGTTATTTATCAAAGAGTTGGCCCTAATATTGTGTAATTTTGAATTTTATTTTTAAAAGGTGCTTCCTGGGTGAGCTGGGGTTTAGTCAAAGGTGCTGAATTTACTGGCAAAGCAATCCAGAAAGGTGCTTCTAAACTCCGAGAACGGATTCAACCAGAAGAAAAACCAGTGGAAGTTAGTCCAGCTGTCACCAAGGGACTTTATATAGCGAAGCAGGCTACAGGAGGAGCAGCAAAAGTCAGTCAATTCCTGGGTAAAGTAATTTTAGATGACTTCTTTAAAGTTAAATTTAAAATAATCTCTTAATCCAAATATTTATTTAGATGATTTAATCTCAAGAATAAAGAACTAAAACAAAGTGGTTTCTCCTTCATACAGTGAGAACTATAGACAGACCAGCAACATCAGGCTATCTGGGAGCCTTAAAAATGCAGAATTTCAGGCCCCAGACATACCTGCTGATTCAGAATCTGCATTTTTACAAGATCCCTAGGTGATTGTTATTTGCATATTAAAGTTTGAGAAACTCTGGTTAAAGGGTGGTTTTGATTAGTCGGAGAGAACAGTGTATATCTTGCAAGAGAAGTTCAGAATGTACAGTCTTGTGGCACCTAATGATAATGATACATTCTGAGAGATGTTTCATTAGGTGATTTCATCATTACGCGAACATCCTAGAGTATACTTATACAAACTATATAGTATAGCCTATTGCTTCTAGGCTGCAAACCTATACAACAAGATACTGTACTAAATACTGTAGGCAATTAGAATATAATGGTAAGTATTTATGTATCCAAACATGGAAAAGGTATAGTAGAAAATCAGTATGAGAGAGAAAAAATGGTACACCTGTATAGGTACTTACCGTGAATGTTGCTTGCAGGACTCAAAGTTGTTCTGGGAAGTCAGTAAGTGGGGAGTGTATGTGAAGGCCTGGGACATTACTGTATACTACTGTACACTTGGGCCAAACTAAATTTATTTTTTTGAAAAAGTAATTGTGCTACAGTGTTACAGTGGGTGTGATGTCACTAGGGTATAGGAATATTTCAGCTCCATTTTAATCGTATGGGACCACCGTCATATACACAACAAAATGACCATGACCAAAATGCCATCATGTGGCATGACTGAATTTGTTATTCTTGAATCCATCTGAGGGATATGACATATTCTTTTAAGAACAGCAATTCTCTGCATAGAAGTTGATGGTCAAGAGGGAGGGATGTATTGTTTGAGAAAAGCTGACTTAGTGATTCCTAAGCAATATACTTCTAACCCCTTGTCCTTTGAGAATCAAGAGCGCTAAAGTTTACTGTTTTAAGATGGTCAGATAGGACCTTAATGGATTACCATTATATTTAGTAAGATTACCTTTTTTAGTATGTGTTGAAGCACATTTGGGGTTATTTACTTTTACAGACTTAAATACCTTATTATTTCACTGAGATATTTACTGATAGAAAAATACAAATACACATAACTAGAAAATGCTAAAGGTGTACCTACCAATCTTGCATTGCAGCAGTCAGATAGAAAAAGTGGATGGTTTTCTCAAACAGAAGTGCCAAGAAGAACATGTACATCTAAGAGGCGAAGTTAGAACTGTCAGGAGGCTCTGGAAACACATGTTTAAAGCAAACAATAGCCTTTGTTTAAAAAAAAATAGCCTGTCTGTGGTATGTGCCAGTAGTTTCAGCTACTTGGAAGGCTGAGGCAGGAAGATCACTTGGGCCCAGGAGTTCAAGGCCAGGCTGGACAACATAGTGGGATTCTCCTATTTAAAACAAAAAACAAAAGCCCCAGTCTAGCTTCTCATCCTTCAGTAGAAATGGTAACATTATGGAGTAAAACAATTTTAGATCCTCACTTAACAATTTTGCAATGGATGGTAAAATCAAGGGAAGAATATGTTTTTTTCTAAATTTTCTTTTTTTTATTATATTAGTTGATGGAGTTTGCACCGTAGCAAATTGTGTTGGAAAGGAACTAGCTCCACATGTCAAGAAGCATGGAAGCAAACTTGTTCCAGAATCTCTTAAAAAAGACAAAGATGGAAAATCTCCCCTGGATGGTGCTATGGTTGTAGCAGCAAGTAGTGTTCAAGGTAACAAAAGGGCCCAGAATTTTAACTAGAAAGATCTGTTTGCTTTTGGCTAGATTTACTTACTTTTAAATATATTTTCAGGATTTTCAACTGTCTGGCAGGGATTGGAATGCGCAGCCAGATGCATTGTTAACAACGTCTCAGCAGAAACTGTACAAACTGTCAAATACAAGTAAGTTGAATTTTATCGTTTTAATAACTGAATCTTTTACAGCATTTGTAAAAATTCATGACAGTTAAGATAATTATGTAAGCTGAGTAGGATGGCTCACACCTGTGATTCTACACTTTGGGAGGCCTAGGTGGAAGGATCACTTGAGGCCAGGAGTTCTAGACCAGCCTGAGCAACATAGCAAGATCCCATCTTAAAAATAAAGGTAATTATGTAGTTATTTTTATTAGGTATCTGATAAAACAATTTTTTCACTCATTGTTTTTCTTCAATAGTGAAAATAATATTTTTGGTAAAACAGAATTCTTGTGACTTGGCTTTGTATTAGTAATTATTATAAATGTTCATCATTAATGTAAAGGATAGGTTTGACTTTTTTTAAAAGCCTGGAATTTCTGTATACCTTATTGAACTACATGTTCTTGGTGGGTGATATCTGCCTGAAAAACTTGAATTATAATTTATTATACCCCCTGTTAACCTGTTCTGTATACAAAGATTGTAAAACTTTGTCAAATCTTACTTGACTCTAATTACCACTGTACATTTGTATTGGGATGGACAAATGGTATGTCTTCTTCATATATTAAGAAATGGACAGGTGTGTAAATGAATGCATTGCACAAGCTTACATGATCAGTGGTGTTGATTTCTTTCTAATTTGGCCTTAAGATCTCTCTAGAGAGTGGCTATAAATTCTAGTCCTGCCCTTACGAGTCCCTAGAGAAGATGGTTGTGGATATTTACAGTATGCCTTTCATGGGATACTTCTTTATCTTGGTGGACAGCCTAATGCCTAAGTGTCTAACCTGTGACCAGGTGTCCCTCTTTCAGGAAATTTGTTTATACTGGAATACACTCTTATGGCTCTTATCTGACTTGTGTCCAGTTTGTTCCTACTAAGTCATTCTAAAGGAGACCCCTAACTAGAAGGAGAGTTAGGTTTGGGTGTGTTGGTCAGGTGAAACACAGGAAGCAGCACAAAAATCCATGAGAGAAGAGGGGTATCCTACTGAGGGCTGATGGAACTTCCTGGAGATAGCAGGGTGCTCAGTCAGCAAGTGGGGGAAGGAGGGAGTGAGCATACATGGATGAGAGGGAGAAGGGGCCCTGTGGAACTGTTGGGACTGTGCCCTCAGTAAGGTCCATGGGTGTTATCCCTTTGGTTTGCCAGTGGGAGATGTGGATTGACTAGTTTAAAGAAAACATGTGAAGGGAAGAACTAATTTACTTGACTCTGGTGTTGGCTGTTCTCGTGATCAGCAGCTGTGGGGTGTGTTGAGTTTTGAGTCAGTGAGATGAGGAACAAGTGAGTTCTATTGCAAACAACCACATGGGGAGGGGGAAGTTTTAACAAAGCCAAAGGTGATGGGATACAACTGGGTTTGAGACAATTTATGTCAGGCCTAAAAAGTGAATGCTTAAGCAGCAACTATATCATACAAATTTATGACAAGTAGTATTAAAGATGAGATTTAAAATAGGATCTTCTGCTTTTAGCTCTTTGTTCTTTCTACCTAACAATACTGTCTTTACACAGTATTAAAAGAATCAAGGTCTAAAAACTAAATCTAGTGTGATGGACCTGAGTTGCTTTCTTAGCTTTGATTTAGTTTGGGTCTTACTGTTTCTTTAGAAAGAAAAAAGAAGAGCAATGTTACTGGTGTTCACAATTCTTTGTTATTTGTGTTAATTATCCACTTACTGATAACATTTATCTGAGTTCATATTTATGTGTCAGGGACTATGTTCAATGCTTTCATATATGTTATTTAATTTTTAATACTGTTATTTCTATTTTATAGATGTGGAAACCAAGGCATAGAGACTTAAATAACTTACTAAAGATTGTGCCCCTAGTAAGAAGTAGAGCTGGCATGTAAACCAGGTGTTTCTGTCATTAGAACCTGTGCTCTGAAGTGCAGAGAAAAGTGCTGGGCCACCACTGCCAATAGTGGGTAATCTGTGCAGGCTTAGTACTTTCCAGCAGTATCTAACATGTTTTTAGATTCCCTTCCACCACAGTAAATTACCTTTAACTTAGGAAATACTGACTTAATTTCCATCCTAAATTAGTTTGACCTGCTCTGCTTGGGTATGCATATCTTTGAATCAAAGCAACATGGCACATCTTCTTGAGTTGTCAGTCTTACCAATAACAGTTGAAAATGAGAATATAGAGTATGTCTGAAATTCTTTTAATGGAAATGTAAAACCAAGTCTTCCAGTGCACTTCTTGCCACTTGTGGCATTGACCTGTGTTTGAGATTCATTAATTTTTTTCTGCCCTTGAGGTTACTGGATGGATCAGTGATAATTAGAAAAATAGTTTCTTTATTTGTAGCAAGAGCAGGAGGAAGTCAGAAGTGCCTTTAGGCCAAAAGTGAATTATTTTTAGATTGTCATTATCATTTGTTGTTAGCACAGATAATTAGGCAATCATATTAGAAAGTAGGAAGTACTTTGTTGGATTTGCCCTTTACCTATTCTAATGAAAAAAATACTTAACTACAATGGGTATATTAAAAGTTTGAGATCCACATAACTAGGGAGTACTGGGTTTTGATGTAAATTTTGTATTTCTGGTCCTTAGCAAGGAGAACTTAATGTGATGAATAGGATATTTTAACAGTGATTCTGAGCTAATTTATTTCTATTATGGTATGCATTGCTGTTTTTATCCTTTCCTCCAAAGATTCATGGAATAAATAAAAATCATGTAAGTGAGAATTTAAAGTAGTTTTGTATTTTTAACCATGAGGATGATTGTCTTAGCAGTAATTTAATTTCTACTGTTAGAGACTTGGAAAGATGGGAGAGGCAGCAGGGAATAAAGGATTTTTCCCAGGTAATACTGTTTTCTCATCTGTGGAGATAATCTGGCCCAGAAATAGAAAGTATCCTTTAAGAAAAGAAACTAAAAGTATTGAACCAGTAGTAACTTAGTCGCAGAACTGAAGAAATGGAAAAGATAGTTGTACCTTTGTTTAATTTAGTTATTTATGTACATTTATTAATATATTTATTTACGTTCTTAGTTGTTTGCACTTATTATACTATCAAAAAGTATTTGATATAGTGAGCATTGGTGGTGTTCTTCACTAATCCAACTGATGGTGGTATAATGAAGAAAATTTGGGGCCAGGTGTGGTAGTTCACACCTATAATCCTAGCACTCTGGTAGGCCGAGGCAGGAGGATCACTTGAGCTTAGGAGTTTGAGACCAGCCTGAGCAAGAACGAGACCCCTGCCTCCACTGAAAATAGAAAAAATGAGCTGGGTGTGGTGGTACGCACCTGTGAGCACCTGTAGTCACAGCTACTCGTGTTAAAGCAGAAGGATCACTTGACCTAAGGGTTTGAGATTGCAGACAGCTGTGTAGCTGGGATGACAGAGTGGGACTGTCCAAAAGAATAAAAAAGAAAGAAAATTTGTGATCTTATTACCTATGATATATTGCTCTCCAAAGTAGTTATTTTAAATCTGAATTAATTATATGCATTATGCCAAGGAGAAAAACAAATGCATTATATAAAATTCCTTATCTGATTTCTGGTAGTATAACCTAATACAGAGGATTAAATAACTATACTCTTAACATTGTCAGGTCAATGTGTAAGAACTATTTGTTAGGACTCAGTTTATTTTTGTCAGTTACAATAAAGCTTTTGTCTTATTTTAGATTTAGAAACGTGAAGGCCTGCAGGAACAATGAAAAACAACATGTAAATTTAAACCTGCTACACTTAATTTTAGTATAGTACCTATTAAATAATTCATCACCCTTCTACATAGCTTCTAAATTTCACCTTTAAGCTTCTTTGTTCCACTTTAAATTGTTTAAAGAAGAATATAACTTCAGTAAACTAGATCCATTTTTATTTTCCCTTAGCAATATTGTATCTTTGAATATATCTTTGTGGAAAATAAGCTTAATAATAGATATTTTCCTGTCAGAAATGTACTGTTTTATGGTACAGTATTTTATTGGTTTGTATAGTGAAATTTAAGTAAAATTCTCCTTAAATTTGCATTGGATGAAAGGGTAACTCCATTGGCAAATGTAATATTACCCCAAACTAGTTCTATGTAACATCTACTCAGGAGTTAAATATTTAGTCATCATTATGACCATCACTTGGTTTTTTTCTTGTCTCCTAAGTACTGTCAGTTGCTTTATCAATTCTGTATAGCGTATTGTTTCCAGTTCCTTCATCCTGGTCATCTCTATTTTTATTTTGATTGGGACAAATTAAAGTTTATCAGTGCCCTTCTGAATACATGGCATCTGGCATTGAATCTCATGTTCCAGATGTGTTGTGATCAGATTGAATATAGTGGGATTTGCCTCCCATGTTTTAGTCATATTTGCACTTGATAAATATGACACACAAGACAAAGAGTATATCCTCTTTATTAAGTGATATCAAACTTGACTTTTTGTTTTTGGAGACAGGGTCTCACTGTTGCCCAGGCTGGAGTACAGTGGTGCAATCATAGCTCATTGTAGGAGCCTCAAACTCCTGGGCTCAAGCATTCCTCTTACCTCAGCCTTCCAAATAGCTGGGACTATAGGCTGGTGCCACCATGCCCGACTGATTTTTTTTTTTTTTTAAGAGACAGTCTTGCTATGTTGCAGGCTGGTCTTGAGCTCCTAGCCTCAAGCAGCCCTGCATCAGCTTCCCAAAGTACTGGGATTATAGAGGTGAGCCACTGTGCCTGGACAAACTTGATCTTTTAAAAAATAAACCTTTAAAATCTGGACCTTCATCTTGTCTTTGGACAATTGATATTTGTACATAAAATTAAGAACTTTCATTGGTACTTGCTTAACTTCACTTTGTTGTTTTTGACCTGTCATTAAATCAGTCCTTTATTTGTGCTTTTGATCTTAGTGTGTCATATTAGCCACTCTTCGGGTTTGTGTTATCCATAGATTTGAAAGACCTGTCTTTTTTATGAGTAGATTTTTTTCCAGAAATTTTCATGGATAAAGTCTAATCACATGGCTGCTGGAGCCTCTCCTCCTGATTGATTTTGTTCCAGTATTTCATGCTTATTAAAATTGGTGGCTTAGCTGTCTACATAATTTCCTAACATTATTCTCATTTAACTCACCTTTCTATTTTGTCTTATCAGACTATTTCTCAGTGTTACTGTCTTCCACATTCATTTGCTAAATATTGATTCTTTGTAAGGTGTCCTGTCAGTTTTCTCTTTTGGTGTTCTAGTCTCATCTCTTCATGGATAATCTCATCTATACCTGTAGCTACAATTAGGATTTATATACCAGTAACTCTCAAATCTATGTTTTCTTTTAATTTTTGTCTTAATCTTTAGGCTCATACGTCCCAACTGCATACTGCTATAGATGATCTGCTACCATGTCCTGTTGATTTATATATTCATTCCTTTCCCTTAAGCCTTGTTATCACTACCTTAGAGTAGACCCTTATCATTTTTCATCCCTCTCACAGCTGCTTTCCTACCTGGTTCCTTTGCCTCCAGTCTGAGACTCTTAAAGTTCACAGTGCAACTTCAGTTAGAGGAATCTTTCTGAAAAACAAATTTGGTCATGTCATTCCTTTGCTTAATTTTTTTTTTATTTCTCATTCATTTCAAGGTAAGGTTTAAACTCCTTAGTTTCACCTACAAGGTCCTTCATAAATTGGCCAGAACCCATCTGCCTTTGATGGATAGATTAATAAAAGGCTGTTTCTACCTTAAGTATTTCAGGTTAATATTTCTGAGTATAATTTTGAAGGTTGCCTATAAATTGATTTTCAGGCAGATTTATTTGAAACTTGTTATGGTGGAAATGCTGCTATAATTAGTGAACTCTAGAATCACTGCCAGCATGTTGTCTTTGTGGACATCACTGAACACACTGGGGAAATTTCAGAAAAGTCTGGTTCAAATTGGAGATTGAATCCCATTGACTTATTTAGGGTGTACTTCATGTTCATTTTTTATTCTTCAATTGGTAGTGTTAGTATATAAAAAACAACTTAATTAGCTCTAGTTAAAGTTAATTTATTTAAAAGTAAGAGATCAAAAATAAACTTTATCTTCTTGCCAGAGATATGCTTTCTAGGAGTTTTTAGCAGTGCAGTTTGAAGAAAAGGACTGAGCAGTTACTTATCTAGGAAGAGAAGAACAGATGCCTACTAGGGAAACTGGTTCTAAGGCATATTAGAAAGCAGAGGTAGTAAGTGAGGATATATTAAAAAATAAACACAATTGAAAACAAGCCATTTTTAGGATCTTTTAAAATATATATTTAGTACTTTAGAACTTTCAGACTGCTTTCACATGTACACATCATTTTATGAGATAAAGAGGAGGAAGTTGATGAGAGGCAGAGAGGTGGAGACTTGACTAAGGTCATATGACAGAGTTGGTATTAGAATCTAGTTTTCTGACTCCTAGTTTGGTACTGTTTTCCCCAAATTAATAGGAGTTGGTGCCAAATGTGGAGATAACATGGAAGAACAAAGTCAACAGAGTTCCAAAACAAATTCATGTCTAGTACATTGTTAAAGACAGTGTAGTTTTTAGAATTGTGTTAAATATAGAAATATCATGAGTGCAGTTAGAGGTAACAAACTATATCAGTAGAAAAAGGAACATTACATGTACTCAGAGGTGGAAGTTTATAAATATAGAGGATTTCCTATACTGGAAAACATAACTATGGCAGAAGTCTTGAGTTACCATGTCACTTCATTGTAGCTCACATAGTCCTAGAGAAGTAAACCCAAAGAGAAACTTGTTACACCAAGAGTTATGGTCATTCTTTCAGTGCTGAAACTGCTGTTACCCCTTTCTTTTAGTTCAGCCATAGCCATTGCCACCTGATAATAGTATTTGTGACTAGGGCGTGGTTGATAATGGTGACTAGGGCCCCCTGTCTTCTGCATCATCAGAAAATCCTGTGCAGTGCTGTGGGATTGCAAAACAACAGGGACTGGCAGAAAGCAGTTGTAGGAGGCTTATCTGTCTCATGACTGGTGAGAAGGCCCCAATCAAGAATAGTACAGCCATACAATGGAATACTGCTCAAAAGAAAAAAAAAAAAGAAAAAAAAAAAAAAAAAAAGAATAGTACAGCCTTAAGGGTTCTGATGTGCTGGCTCTAATATAATTATTAACATTAGGCAGAAGACAGAAGAGAATCATCATTCAGGGGCACAATAAGATTACTTCACATTTGAAGCACTGGGGTTGAAAAATGCCAAGCACAAACAAGCCAGTGGGGTCACAAACCATTGTTCTAGGCCAGGCCAATAGTAATAGAGGACTTGTTAATCCATAAGACAGATCCAGTGTTAGCATAAGATATCCAGATATAGGTCACAAAGCACCTAGGAAGCTTCAGTGTGTCCTGGAGAAAATGTAAAATTTTCTCTATTGTTTTAGCAGTTCTCTAGTTGGGAAAAACTGTGGGCAAGAAAAGCTTTAAAAGCCTGGTACCAGAAAAGGGGTAAAGAGTAAAACAAAACAGGGAGATATATTTTGGTATCCTTAGATAGGACCTCAAATTACATTTTCTCGTAGAAATAGTATTAAATACAGATACTGATATTTATTTTCAATAATAACTACTTTTGTGTATGCTGTATAACTGCCAAGCACTTTGCCATACATTTGATATTCAGAAAACTCTAAGGTAGATAGGGTAGAAATTACTGATTTCATTCATTCAATAAATATTTAGAACAGGCACTGTTCTAAATACTTAGGATACATTAATAAATTAATAAACAAAAGATTCCCCTCCCCAGTGGGGTCTATATTCTAGTGAGACAGCAAGACATAAAGAATGATCATTAATAAGTTCTGTAGTACATAGAAAGAAGCAAGTTATAGAAGAAAGAGCAATTTAAGGGGGGATTTATTGGCAGTGTTGTGGGGCATGTGGGATAAGGCAATTTAAACAGATAACTGAGAAGAGAATAGTTGAGCCAACTTGAGGAAGGTAAGGCAATGAACTTTGAAAGTTCAGGCAGAAACCAGCCAGTATAAAGTCTTAAGGCCTTTGTGTGCTTAAGGAACAATAAGGAGGCCAGTGAATCTGCAGTGGAGTGGGATATGGAGGAGAATGTCGTAGAATCTCTGCTTATGACAAACTCAGATTCCCATAGTTTAAAAGACTAGTTAAGGTAGAGCTTGAAACCATTTATTGTATAATGACTAGCTTCTTTGTGTCCTACAGTTGCTTCAGTGATTATTTTCCCTTATATTTCCTTATATTTCTGGAAGGAGAAGATAAAGAAATGACTGATTAACAATCTTTATTATAATTTACATTTTATTTTTATTCATCAGTCTTTATTATATCATTCTTAGCTAATCTAAATTTAGTTTCACATTGTTTTTACTAAAGGAGAAAATACAGCTTTGTCACAGTGTTACTTCATTCTCTACTATGTTTTAAGTTATTAATTAAATTGAAACCTAAACTTTGATTTCGTTCTCAGGGATAACACAGTAATCATTTGACTTAATTAACACTAATTAAGACTATCTCATTTTATATTTGTATTTTTATTGTACATTCTTTAATTTGTTTTAAAGATATGGGCATACTGCTGGAGAAGCTACACACAATGCAGTGGATTCTGCTGTCAATGTTGGCGTCACTGCCTATAACATTAACAACATTGGTATCAAAGCGATGGTGAAGAAAACTGCAACGCAAACAGGACACACTCTTCTTGAGGACTATCAAATAGTTGATAACTCTAAGAGGGAAAATCAAGGAGCAGCAAATGCAAATGTGATAGGGGAGAAGGATGAGCAGACGAAGGAAAGAAAGAAGAATGAGGCAAAGAAGAAAGATAAATGATGGAAATTTTGGGAATCGCCTATACCAAAGCCTTATAAGATGGACGAAATTTTGTTAAATAGGCAAATGTGGAAAATATCCACAGATATAACCAGTGTTTTTTAAATGTATTCATTCCTACAAAGTGACTTATAAATTTTATGGCATGTATTCTACTTAAAAGGAAAAGAATTGGTATTCTTGCATCTAGCTTTTAGAAATATGAAGTTATGTTCACAATATGTTTATTTTTTTCCAAATGTAGCTAAAATATTTTTGCAGTTAAAGCTAACAATGTGCTATAAACCTCATTAAACCTAATGTTAAACTATTTTTGTATCTGCTATCTTTCAGAAAGCCAAGTAGGAAATTATATATTTACTTAAAATTTGGCATTTAGGAACATTAGTTCTATTTATACTGGGAAGGAATGATTTAAAGTATTGTCTTCTCTTTTTGCACTAATTGTGGATTTTTTTTTAGATGCTTGTCAAAATTTTCAGTGTATAAGCTAAACAAAAACTGTAATCCTTTAGGATCTTAAGAATTCTCAGATAACATTTTAAAAGAGTTAAAAACAGGGAGGAGACTGGTAAGGAATACAGTGAGAGTCTATAAAATTATTTGGTAGCTTACCTATTAGGAAATGAGATGGTTTTTTTGATTTAAAATGAATGCAATAGATTTTTAAGGATTTTATATTGAGACTGGTATTGATCTGTTAGAAGCTAGGAAATTTGGTGGCATGATTGGTACTAAAATTTTAAGTGATTTTGTTATCAGCTTAATTGGACAAAAAAATACTTTAAGAGATTATTTTGCTGTATCTGCTTCTGTAACCTTTTCCAAAAGGCTAAAACTTTGTGAAAACTAAAGCATAAACAGAATTGCGTTTTCTGATGGTAAATATATTTTTCTTTTGGGATTCAGTCATTGGAATTTATACTAAAAGCAAATAAGTTATTAAAAAGGAAAGGTTCTATTCATTATCCAAGTAAAGAATGTGAAAACTATAGGTTAATCCATGGTGGGTAAGCATAATAGTTTCTACTTTGGCAGAAGACAGGATATTCAAAGACCTTTAACCTACATATGTGTAAGTAAATACCTAATGGCATTTTACTTTTTTTTATTAAATTGGTATTAGTTTTGATAGCTGTAGTCCATTCTAATCATTTCTGAACCTCTAGTGGCTGTTAGTTTATTAGACTTTATTTGAAACTGTCTGAAGAATGCACTTTGTGAATAAAAAACTGAATTGCTTGGCCTCACATATATCCATGGGTTTGTATTTTGGGAACACATAGAATTGGTAGAGCTTTCTCCTAAGGCCATGGATGATGTACTAGTTATTAAAATTGAAATAAAAATGAATTGGTAAACAGCTTCCAGTCAGTTTCTGCTTTGCCAAATTTACAAAATGGAATGGCAGATAGTGGAGCCTAAATTTTAGAAAAGTTACCTTTGACCAGAGGTCATTGTTAACTAAAAAAAATTAATTAACAAGATTTATAATAAAGGAGAGCTTTATTTCTTATGAAGGTTAGCGACCTGCCGAGTGGCCATTCCAACAGGTTGGGAAGCAGATCCTGGGCCAGAAGCCAGGCACATGTACTTTCAAGGAGAGGCAAAAGACAACAGTATTTTATACTGAGCATGGTGATCAAATGAACATATTTAACAAGTATCTATAGGAGGAGCCAGGAATGTGTATGAAGAGAAATCATACACATGTAATTGTGCTTTCTCTCTTCCATCCCAGCCTGTCTGGGAACTCAGTTTTAAGGTATTTCTGGGGACACATTGACCAAGAGGAGTCCATTCAGTTAGCAGAGCTCTTGGGGTTTTATTTTTAGTTCACATCTGCAAATATACCTGATGGGCCAAATCCAGTGGCCACCTGTTTTCATAGAGTTGTATTAGAGCACTGTCATACCTATTTGTTTACATGTTAGCTATGGCTGCTCTCTAGTACAACCCCAGAGTTGAATAATTACAACAGAAACTGTATGGCCCATAAGCCTAACATATTTACGGTCTGGCCCCTCACAGAAAATGTATGCTGACCCCCTGCCTTAGACTACAGAAAATGAACTTTTCCCACCATTCCAGTGAGTCACTAGGAGATGGGCTTCTAATAAGGAATTTTTTATATTATATAGTAATTGACACATAGAAAAATTGCATAAAACATGTAAGGTATGAAGCATAATAAAATTAACACTCATAAACTTATCACCCAACTAACGACTTAGAAAATTGCCAGTTACATATACATGTGTGTTCTTTTCTATTTTCTCTCCTTGCCTTTCTCCCCCACCATTATTTTACTATTTTTTTGCCTGTATCACACATGTATATTCTCCAAACATACTGTTTCACGTTGTACTTTTAAAGCTTTGTACATACAGTATCTTAATGCAAAAGTCTTATTCAACTTACTTTTTTGAGTTTGTGTTTAAAATTTATTCTTGTGCTTATGTGTATGGTTTAGTTCCTGTATAGTATTCTGTGTGAGTATACCACAATTTATTCATTTTCCTGTCAGTTGACATTTGTTTCTTAATTTTGGTTGTTAGCAACTGTACTGCCATAAACATTCTTGAATGTGCCCTGCTACACATATGCAAGAGAGTTTATACATATGTGTCGACTTGTCAGGTCATAGGGTTTATCATTTTTAACTTTGCAAAATAATGCCAAGTTATTTTCCAAAATGATCATATTCTCTTGAGCAGGATTTCCCTTGACAGTGTTCTTACTGTCATTCTAGCATATATAAAACAGTATTTCATAGTTTTAACTTGCATTTTCTTGACCTCTCATGATGTCAGTAATTTTTCGTGCTTGCCATTCATTTCCCACCACTGTAAAATTTGCCTGTTATAACTGTTTTGCTTTTCACATTTAGGTGTTTAATTTATTGAGAATTATGTGCATTTGTACAAGATGTAAGGTAAGAATCTAATTTTCTCCCCTGTGGATAATCAGTTACTCAAGCCCCATTTATTGAATAGTTCTTTGCTTTAGTGATTTCCACAGTTCTGTATCTAGAGATAATCAGGCTTCTCTGTATATCAAGTATTGAGTGTTTCTGGGCTATGTTATTCATCTGTCATTTCCTTTATTTCTATGTTAGTACCACACTGTCATCATTATAACTTCTTAATAAGTCCCGCTGCCTGGTTAGGGCAAGAGGGTGAATTCCCTTGACCATATCCTCTAAGGATATTTTAGCTAATCCAAGAAATTTGGTAAGTTTAAAATCTCCTCACAAAGAAACATCAGTCTCAGATGGACTTACGGGTGAGTTATTTCAGACCAAGAAAACTGTAAACTAAAACTTTTGACCATCCTACCTGCCCCACTCCCTTATAAAAGGGAACTAGCTAGGCTGTTTTTGCCATTCTGCCTTCTGTCATGTGAGGATGCAGCAACAAATTGCCACCTTGGATGCAGAGGTAGGCTCTCACCAGACATCAAACTTGCCAGAACCTTGGCTTGACCTTGGGCTTCCAGTCTCCAGAACTTTGAGAAATAAATGTCTATTCTTTATAAATTACCCAGTCTCAGATGCTTTGTTATAGCAACTTGAACAGACTAAGACCAGATCTTTCACCTACCTCTGCTTGGCTCTTTGAGACTTAACAGATGTAATAATGTATGAAAAACAAGAGTTCTCAATATTTACTGCTATCAGGGTTTTCTTCACTTTACAGGTTACCCTCCTCCATGCTGTACTGAGTAGTATTCTGGGAGCACCTCCAGGTACGGACTGGCCATAAAAATGATGATAGCTTAATGTTTTATAGAGTGCTTACTATATAAACTTACATAGTGCGAGGAGTGTCATAAGTGCCCATACATCAATTGTTAACAAACCAAACTGGGCTCCATGTGCCTGGCACAGTTAAAGCCTGACACTGAGATTCGCAGTGGGAGAAAGGGGCATTTATTGCATGGGACTGTTGGGGTGAAGGCAAAAGTTCTCCTTTGCCCTCAAAAGGTATACTGAAAAATCACCTTACAATAAAATAGACTAATAAGAGTTATCAAATTTATTTAACATGTATAGACAGGAACCCCCAGAAAATGACAATTCCACTCCCCAGTGGGGTTGAAAAGCTTATATTTTTTTCTGGTAAAATGGTTTATGGGAAGGGGGAAAAGAGAAATTCTGTTTGAGGGGCAGAACAAAGGGCTGGGAAAAGAGAAAGAATTTCAAAGGCCTCCATTCTACCTTATCAAAGACAGAGAATCACCCCACACACATAGCTCACCACTGCTGCAGCCTATAAACAACCAGCAAGTAAGAAAACCACCATTCTAAAGATATCTATAACCAAGGCATCCATCCAGAACCTAGATGACCATCAAAGCACCCACAAGCAAGCTGAAAGGTTCTTACCCAGAATATACTACAGACCCTTGCAAGTGAGGGATTGGGTGGGAAAGCCCCATCTAAACAAAATCCAAAATTAGAAGCAACAGCTACTCCAGATAAAAAGGAATCAGTGAAGGAACTCCCAGAAGTATAAAAAATCAAAAAGGGCACCGCAAAAGGGAACACCAGCTCTCTAGCAATGGATATCAACCAAAATGAAAATATTGAAATGACAGATAAAGAATTCTAAATATGATTTGTAAGGAAAATCAGTGAAATCCAAGAGAAAATTGAAAACCAACTCAAACCAGAAAACCAATTCAGGAAATGCATGAAAACTTATCTGAAGAGATTGACATATTAAAAAAAAAAATAGAACTGGAAATGAAATACTCATTTAAAGGTATACAAAACACAGTGGGAAGTTTTAAGAATGGACTAAACCAGGCAAAAGAAAGAATCTCGGAGCTTAAAGACAACTCTTTTGAATTAAAATCAGTCAAAAAGAATAGAGAATTAAGTGGAATAAACAAAGTGCTAGAAGTCCTAGCCAGAGCAATCAGGCAAGAGAAAGAAATAAGTGGTATCCAAATTGGAAAAAAGGAGGTCAAACTGTTGCTTTTAGCTGACGATGTGATCTTACATCAGAAAACCCCAATGACTCCATCAAGAGACTCCTGGAAATGATAAATTCAGCCAAATCTCAGGCTACAAAATCAATGTATACAAATCAGTAGCATTCCTATACACCAGTAAGTCAAGCTGAGAGGCAAATCAAAGACTCAATACTAGTCACAATAGCTACAAAGAAAATAAAATACCTAGGAATATACTTAACCAAGGAGGTGAAAGATCTCCACAAAGAGAACTACAAAAACACTGAGGAAAGAGTTTCCGACAACACAAACAAATGGTAAAACATACCATGCTCATGGATTGGTAGAATCAACATTGTTTAAAATATCCATAATACCCAAAGAGATTTACAGATTCAATGCAATCCCTATCAAAATACCAATGTCATATCTCACAGATCTAGAAAAAATAATTCCATGTTTAGTTTGGAACCAGAGAAGAACCTGACTAGCCAAAGCAATCTTAAGCAAAAAGAATGAATCTGGAGGCATCACATTATCAGACTAGACTACTATGTTACTATACTGCAAGGCTATAGTAACTAAGATAACATGATACTGGCAAAAAATAGAGACAGACCAGTGGAACAGAGAACCCAGATATAAAACCATCCACATACAGCTAACTGGTCTTTGAAAAAGCAGACAATAATATACACGGGGGGAAAAGCTCTATTCAATAAATGGTGCTGGGAGAATAAGATAGCCATATGCAGAAGAATGAAAGAGGATCCATATCTCTCACCACTCACAAAAATTAATTCAAGATGTATTAAAGACTTAAATGTAAGGCATGAAACTAAGAATTCTAGAAAAAATGTTGGGAAAACTCTTCTAGATATCAACCTAGGCAAAGTATTTATTAATATGAAGAAGACCCCAATGGCAATTACAGCAACAATGAAATAAATGGGATTTGATTAAAAAGTTTCTGCACAGCTAAGGAAATACCACAGCAAACACAACCTACTGAATGGGAGAAAATATTCTCAAGCTATATATCTTATAAAGTGCTAACAACTAGAATCTACAAAGAACTTAAGCAAATCAAGAAAAAACTAACTCCATTAAAAAGTGGGCAAAAGACATGAACAGAAGCTTCTCAAGAGAGGATAGACAAATGGCCAACAATCATAAAAAACATCTCAACATCACTAATCATCAAGGAAGTGCAAATTAAAACCACAATGAGACATCACCTTAACCTTGTCAGAATGGCAATTATTAAAAAGTCCAAAAAAAAAAA